CATAACTGACTACACTACATGTAACTCTCATTTTTATACCAGTATAGCATATTATGCATTTTAATTTAATACATGAAGTTTATAGCAGTATAACAAACGAAAACATGCTTATGAAAAAAAGATAAATTGTATGTAGATTATATTCATTTCCTGTTAAAATGATAATTATGATGTTTGAGGTACTACCAGTACTTAGTGATGCTTGCTTCTGATTAATCAACTGACTAAGAAATAAAAAATTAATGACAAAAAACTTATACACTATAGCTCTATAATAAAAGATAATGATCCAATTCTTTTAATATATTATTCATTGATGGACGTTTCTCTGGCTCTGTTGATACACACGAGTCAATCAGACATTGTAAACGAAAATCATCGATTTGATCAATTAAATTATCATGATATTGCTGTTCATCCGGGAATTGGCACAAAAGCACTTCACAGAGTAAAATCCCATAACTGTAAACATCCATTTTTGTTGTTTGTCTCTTTCTCTGCTCTTTCCAACCTTGTGGGAATGACTCTGGAGCACTATAAACCATTGCTCCTGCACCTCTTGAATAAGCCTGACGTGATTGCTTGGCTGATCCAAAATCTGAGATCTTGGTTTTCCATTTATTACTGCCCTTTGATTCAAGGAGAACATTAGCACTGCTGACATCACGATGGATGATAGGATCTGGTAGAGAATGCAAGTAATTTAAACCAACAGCTACATCATGCATTATTCTAAGAATAATATCTCTGTCTGCCGGAGTCAATATACGCCTTTCATAAGCAGCTCTTAAGGACATATCCATTATTTCTGTAATAAGCATTTTAGAGCCTGACTCGGGGCCATCATTGACAAATACAGCTCCAATAAACTGAAGAAGATTAGGATGACACAACTTAGACATGGTCTTTATTTCTTCTATAATTGTGCTAGTAAAATGCTCCTCTATGCTAGTGTGCAATTTCTTAACAGCAACTTGTTGCTTAAAATATATTCCTACGTAAACTTCTCCCCACCCTCCATGTCCTAACTTCTGGTTTGTCACTTGAATGTCCCTGCGATCAATCTCCCAAGGTTCCTTGCCTGGTAGTGATGGTCCTTCTGTTAATTGCTGCCGGTAATATCGAACTTGAGTTTCTAGTTCACTTTTTTGCATTGAAACCTCATCTAGCTCTGCTCTCATCTGATCAAAACGTTGTTCCAAGTCTTGTTTTGCTTGTGTTATGTCGGATTTTTCTTTTTCTAATTGCTGGATTCTGCGTCGTTGCTCTTCTTGAACTGCTTTAAGCTGCCTGTTTTCTTCAGTAGTTTCATAATTTAGTTGCTGTGATGGTATAACGCCAGCAGATTTCCGCTTGTCAAAGTGTCTGTCACGAGATACAGAACGCATATATGGGGGCAAAGTTTTTGTTTGTAATGGTTTATCAGTCTCTTTTGGTGAATGTTCATTGAACAGCCTCTGCTGAGCTTGATACTCTCTCAGAGAAATCCCAAACTCTGCTGCCTTTCTCTTATCTTCATTTACATCAAGCTACAATATATAATTGGTCATCATAAAAGCAAATTCAACAATATTTACTTTTGATGCTTTTGCCATCTGCTGGTCAGGTATCTTAGTGGCTTTAGATGCTTCTTCCAAAAGATGATCCTGGGCACATAAAGAGAATACATCAATGTCATAGTTACTAGCAATTTTGGTTAACTCGATGCTTCTTTCAATTTTTTCTTTGTGATCTTCAGGATAGACTACCATCTGCTCAGGAAGATATATTTTACCATGAGGAGGAGCAACTGTGAAGTGTTGTAGCCCACTGGTACAACTTGGTATATGTAGATCTGGAAAATCTTTCGTAGCATTAATCGCTTCATCCTATTATCATTAAGAAACTTATAAATCAGAAACATACATGCATCAATTTACTGTTTCTATTCCAACAGCAGTGATAGTCTGTCCCTGAAGTATTATTGGTCCAGTCCATCTTACAGTTCCATGGATTACTTTGTCATTTAAAGACTGGAGAACAACACGTACATCCATCTTAAACTTACTGCTTTCGGTCCGTCTAAGGGTTGGCGTTGATGTATCATCAGATGGCTTAACATTAAATTGATGATCTCCATAAGTAGATCTCTTTATTATTTTATCCATAGCAACATATATAGCATCATTAGTATCACAGCTAAAATGAGGACTGCCATTACTTGTTCCCTTTCCTTTATATCTGCTATCCTGCATCAATAAAAACAACCATTATTAAGTTCAATGCAACAGAAGTTTTATTTTGCTAACTGAGAATTTGCATTGATTTTTGTATATTTCTAGCTGATAACTTTCAAGGGTTAATACATGATGCTAATGACAGACAGACAACAGTAGTAACTAGTCCTCACCTACACAAAGCTGAGCGAGGTCAAATGTAATTATAGTAAATATTAGTAACCACAGCTTTTTGTATCAATTTTTACATTGTACTTTTGGAACTCAAGTTTACATGAAAATTGGATTGAGCCACATAACCAAAATTACCTACTCTTGCTAAAAGTTTAGGAGGGCCATGAACAACATAATAACGGTTTCTGCCTACTAGGAAAAACAAAGCTGGCCCAGTTAGATGCTATTTACTGTTCCTTCCTTGTTTATACAATACTAGATGCCAACAATAATAGCAGGTTTATACATGGTTGGTCACTCTTGGGGCAAATTACTTAAGACTAGTTCTAAACCAACCCCGAGTATGGAAACCCAATACTCATTACCAAGACCTTTAAAACACAATATGATAACTATCAATGAATGAATCAGTTCAGTGAATGCTGGAACATGACATGTACTTGTACTCACTAATGCAATATTGATTCCAAAGAATGTTCCTTTTTGATGATCTCTCCAAGGACCAATATATTCTATCCGGCCATGAACCGGGACCGACACCCCACCATTGCCATTATTCACTATGACGACATCGTGTACGCTGAGATCTAGCATCTCATTTAACCTTGTCTTGTTTTCATATTCACGTATTCTAATAAGTGGGTCTTTTATGGCTCGTAAGTAGTTGGCTTCATTTCTCTCTAATTGATCTACTTCATTGAATAATTGCTGGACGCAAAATGTAGTATCAGGATCAGAAACAACTCTGTAGTTATGGTTCTGCCTTGAACCATCAAAAGAATTTCCTGGGATTCGTTCTACAATTTCTCCTTTTGAGACCAAACGGCTTGAACCTCTCTTCTTGCCATATTTATCCGATAGCAGTATGTAGGCCATAAAGAAGAACGCGAGATACGGTAGCTTTCTCTCGAGATTCCTACTCCTAGAGCATCGATGGTGCCAGCCACTCCCTTTTAATTATCACGTGACCCATGCTTTGTGCTTTTGCAAACCTATCATAAACTGCATAAGTGATGTCTTCAAGTCGTTCAGAATTTCATTTCAATGGAATTCTTTTCCCTTCGTTTATGAATCCTAAGTGGATACCTGAGATACCTGACTATCCTGTGTCACCTGAGGACTTGTATGTAGTGGCTTATCCCAAGTCTGGAATGATGTGGACTCTCCAAATTGTGTCCCTCATCAAGACTGGAGGAGCACCAAAACAGAAGCACAATCTGGAAACTATACCGTGGATAGAAGTCATTGGAAAAGAAATTGCACATGTAATCACAAGTATATCGTGTACTAGTCTTGCCCCGGTAGCTTAGGGTGGGGCAAAACAAATCATATGTATGTACTCTTGACTCTTAACATAATTATAGCCTCTAATATAGCGTTTTTATTTCAAAGAGACAAAAATTATAAAATAGAATTTTTCACACAAATAATTTGTAATATCAGCATCGTGCCCTTAATGACAATTTGATTCTCAATTGAATGTTTACAATAGAATATTAATTTTGTGAAACGGGAGCTTTAATTTTGTGATCTATAAAAACCACAAAAGTTTTGCTTTTCAGAAATAAATTGCTATATGGTAGTACATAGGCAGGCATGTATGTCATTCCAGTATAAGTTAGTAGTTCCAGTGGAACTGATTTGGATGGTATAGATCTACATTACATAATGCAATTATGCAGGTGATATACATGTGTACATGTCTTTGTACAGCAGGAAAGTTTGTAGGTCTCCTCCTAATGGGATATTTACGAAAATAAATTAACTTAAGTGAATAATTAATGACATCTTGTGATCATAATAACATGTATTAATAATTATGATGTGTGGTTTTGCATTTTGAAAAGTTTTATATAAATTATGTAGCACTGATTTTTGTTTATCACTGCTTAAAAACTTGTGTTGTATCTTTAATAGGCTCTACCACCTCCCCATACGTTTATGTGCCACTTACCATATCATATGATGCCTGGAAGAGACCCTGCTCATTCTTCTGCTAAATACATTTATATAACTAGGAATCCAAAAGATGTTGTTGTGTCTTACTATCATCACATGAAGCATACTCATCATTTAACTTTCACTTTGGGCTGGGATGCATACTTTGAGTCATTTATAAAAGGAGATGTTTTCTATGGTTCGTGGTTTGACCATATACTGGAATGGTGGAAGCAGAAAGGTAGACACTTACTATTGCAGTTTTTGTGATGATTAGTCCTTTGTTTGATTAGATGCTGACAATATTTTGTTTATGAAGTATGAAGATATGAAGAAGGATCTACCCGGATCAATTAAAAGGATATCACAATTTATGGGGTATAGCCTTGAGGAGTCTGCCATAGATACAATCGCAAAACAGTGTACCATTGAGAGTATGAGAGCTGATCCATTAGGTAATCCTGACGAATATCCAGCTTTTAAGGCAGCTGTTGACAAAAATACTTCTTTCTTACGGAAAGGAATAGTTGGTGACTGGAAGAACCATTTCAGTGATGAGCAGTCATCAAGATTTGATGCTGAATATGCAAAGAGAATGGCAGGTAGTGGGTTGGACTTTATTTAATTTTATTTTATGCTACAATACTGATTTTGATTATGTATGTCCTATTGCTATTTTTTATGTTTATTTTGATGTTGGACACAGATAGTTTTATTGAAATTTATTCTAAGATATGTCTTTTTCTAATTTTCGAATGAAAGTCCCGACGAGCAATTTTAGTACTTACATACCAGAAAGCATGCTAAGTGAGCTAAACAGCATTTGACAAGCACTACAATACAGTACATATGGCATTTGGAGCAACTTTAAAAATTCATAAAAATCCAAATTTGATTGGAACTACCTCAAATTTTTAACACAACATAAGTACATGTATATGTATTAGAAAAAATATAAAGATGAAAAATTCTCTTCCAGTGGTTTTTCTTAAAAATTGGTGTACTAAAGTAAAAGATCTTTTCCCAATTTTTGCGCAACTTTAAAATTTATGAATCCTACTTAGTAACGCTACTGCGTTACTAATAAAAAAGTTCAAATTTGATCTGAGATTTTGCTCAAATTTTCTACATAGCATGCTAACATGTATATGCATCAGAAAAAAATTATTATCAAAATAGAGAAATTTTTCTTAAACATTTTTGACAAAATTTGGCCACAGACCAAAGGCCTTTGGTCATTGACTCAATTTATGAGCAACTTTAGAAATTTATAACAATTCTAATTTTGATTGGAATGAGCTCATTCAGCTCCAATTTTCCACACAATATAAGTGCATGTATACGCATCTGAAATAATTATAAAAATGGAGGATTCTCTTTCTGTGATTTTTGATTAAAAAAATACCCTGTACTATAATACACATAACAGATCAAACCTTTTATACCAGGAGTACATAATATACCCTTGGTTATACTGATACCGTATATTGGTTATACCTGGTTATACTGATTAGTGCATCAAATGGAGTTAGTGTTTAATATTATCTACACTTCAGTCCATTTATTAACTCCTAATGCTGGTTGAGAAATGCCATTACTTGTTACTTTATTGTCAATGATATCATCAACTCTTGATACCATTCATATACAGCATTAAACCATAGGCCAGAGGTACTGATGATGCCATTTGTTAACTGTGTTCACCATTGATAGGATTGCAATCTGGCTACTTATACAAGTGAGTTCCAGTCTATTGCATGGATACTCTCGAGAATAAGATAGCATACATTAATATATGCTTGTTAATGTTATTATTGACAATAAATAAATTATGAGAAACTTAAAAGATATGAAATTGAAAATGCTCCAAGATTCATTTTATAGGAAAGAAGATCCAGAAGCAATTATTGTTTATGATGGTAGGAGATATATCCTCTAGTCTAGACTGTCAGCTTGAAAATATCTTGTTACATCCAGGGCCGTAGCCAGGAACTTAAAACAGGGGGTTCGGAAATTGCTGCGCGCAGCAAAAAATTTTGACAAAAATGGGCGTGGTTGGAAGGCGTGGTCTTAATTTACGCATCTCAGCCATGTGCTGACTCAGCTAAAATGGCTATCTGTGCTTCTCGCTGTTGCCAAAATGCTAATCCTTCTTTTGCAGTGCTGTTCTTCATGACAGGAGCTAATCTAAAACTTTTTGCAGCTACAACAGGGGGTTCGTCCGAACCCCCAGAACCCCCCCTGGCTACGGGCCTGACATCATGATCATGTCAGCTTTTGTGTTTGCATCCATTATCCCATTGTGGGCGGGCTAATAGGTCTAAAGGGCGTAGACTTATCTGTTGTTTTCATAGCAAAATTTTTGATGAAGATGAAGGTTATTTCGCTTCTTCTGCTGCATTCTTGTTTTTTGGCCTTCTCGGCTTCGCAAGAAATTATTTGTATTGGTGACCCAGTCAGTATTGAGCACAACTGTTCCCTGTTCGCAAGTAATCTCAGCTCAGCTCTTCGTGACAATCAAGTGAGGGACGACTCAAAGCTGCTATTCCTGAACCAATATGAAACGATAGAATCACTTATTGAGCTTGTCAATCTATCCCGCCTAACTTTGTTTGGATTTTATAACACTAGTATTGTTTGCAATCAAGAAGCTGTTCAGTACGGACTGAAATTTGTAAATGTCACTGATATTGAGATAGTTGGACTGACTTTCCTCAACTGTGGAGCACTCTATCACCACAAATCCACTGATCAAGGTATTTACGATTATCATTTTTCTTCTGCTGTTTATTTTGAAAATTGTACAAACATTAACATAAGTGGCATAGCTATCCATAACAGTCATGGAGTCGGTTTAACATTGTATGACTGTAATGGATATGTGCATATTACTCACTCAACTTTCAACAATAACACTGTTAGCAAGGTTGACCAGGAGCTATCAACTGGCCAGCTTTTGGGAGGTGGTGGGATTTATTATGAGCTAACAGCATGCAGTCCATTGTGGCCAGGATGCGACCCAAGCACTAATATGTACAACCGCCACTCTTTCTTTTATTTGTACAACTGCACATTCTCTTACAACTCTGTTATATCCCGATCAAATAATCTTGACTATTCAAAGTATATTTGTGGTGGATTGATGATGTGGCTCTCTGGGTTAGCTTACAATAATACGGTCTTAATTGATGACAGTTATTTTGAGGGTAATGTGGGTCTGTACGGTGGTGGCTTATTTGTAATGTGTAGGGAAAATTGTAGTAATAACAATGTTAATATAAGTAATTCGATAATAGTGCATAATAAAGCAATGTTAGGAGGAGGTGGAATGGATATTGGATTTTACTTCACTACAATTCATAATCGTTTCAATAGCATTGTTATCCGATCTTGTACTATCATGGACAACAAGGCATACTTTGGAGGTGGAACTGTGTTTTTTGTGACTTCTGCTAGTCAAATTGACCCTAGCAATCGAATCGAGTTTCATGATACTGTATGGAAGCGTAACATAGCAACATATGGCTCTGCTGTTTACCTTGAACCTATATTCAACAATGTGCCTGCTAATACCATTTTCCCAGTGCCTCGTTTTGTTAACTGTGAATTCTCTAATAACTACATCACATTCAATACAACTGGCAATTCATCGTCGGGCATTGGTATTTCAGCTTTGGGTGCTGGAGCAATAAATTCCAAATCAATATCATTTACATTATCTGGTCTGATTACATTTGATAGAAACAATGGAACTGCTTTGTACATTGTTGACAGCAATGCCATAGTTACAGAAGACACTTCAGTTATTTTCTCTAATAATACAGGGACATATGGTGGTGCTGTGTCTATTAATGGGTTTGCCTCAATATACACAAGTGCAAACACATCATTTCAGTTTCTTGATAATGGGGCATCTGTTAAAGGAGGGGCAATATTTTCTCATTCAACAGACATCCAGACTTCTTTACTGACCGGTGCCTCGTGTTTTGTTGAGCGTATTAGAACAAGAGATACATTCAAGACGCTTTTTTACTTTAGAAACAATAGTGATTCATTTGGTAAGTCAATGTACATATCATCATTGCTGCCTTGCAACAAGTTGTGCCAAGGGACTCATGTGTATCTTACTTACATTTCACCTGAAATCCTTCTAAGTGAGTGTGTTGGTAACTTCACATTTGCTGATTACAATGGAACAGTGGAAGGAAACGTAGCAACTGAGACTAGTGAATTTGATCAGTTGGAGGAAGACAACAAAGAAAAGTGGATAGTACCAGGTAAAGATTTCTTGATTCCGTTTGTTACTCGTGATGAGCTAGGGCATGAATCAATGGAACCACTTTTCGGTATATTGACAGCTAATAATGAGTCCCTTCATCTTAATCACATATACACTGCTAACAACAGGTTCCAGATGAGAGGACAGCCCAATGATACAGGCCATCTCGAAATTGGCACACTTTACTATCGTAATTTGACAGTTGGAATTACTATTGTAATGTCTTCCTGTCCTCCTGGCTTTATAAACAAGAACAATACTTGTGTTTGTTCTGCTGATTATGATAGCGATCACTACAATGGTATTGTGCGTTGTGATAATAAAGAATTTGTGGCATCTCTTAGCTCTGGCTTTTGGGTGGGCTATGTTGGTAGTGTATCAGAAGACACTTTATTCAGTGGACTGTGTCCACAAGGATATTGTAACGATAATCAGACATTTCACATTTTACCCTCCGTTCCATCCTTCACCCAATTAGACTCACTGATATGTGGTGGTAATAATCGTACTGGTGTTTTATGTGGTGATTGTATTGAGAATAACTCTGTATACTACAACTCACCAGGATATAAATGTGGTAATAATGAGCTTTGCTCCTATGGGCCACTCTTTTATTTACTATCAAGCATCATACCGCTGACCCTAATGTTTACAATCATCATTATGCTTGGTGTAAATTTTAGCTCTGGTACATGGAATGGATTTGTCTTTTTTGCACAAATTGTGGGCTACTTTACGGCAACAACTAACGGTGTTGCATTCATCTCTTTCTCTGAGAGACTTTTCCACATAATTTCAGTTTTAATATATGGCCCGTTCTCACTAAAATTCTTTAATGATGACAGCCTCTCATATTGTCTCTCTAAAGATGCAACTTTCTTTACTGTAATGGGAATTGAGATTTTCTCCCTTCTTTTTGCCTTTCTCTTAGTTGTGATACTCGTGTTTGTAATGAAGTCTAACTACTTCTACAGGATGCAGACTGCCTGTTGCAAAAGGCCCTTTTTCAAAACAACAACTCTAACAAATGCACTGACAACATTCCTCATACTTTGTTACTCGCAAACAACTCAGGTATGTTTTAAGATATTAGAAATAGGATTTTTGACGAATAAAGGCAACAGTGTCGTATATCCTTTGCGTGTGCAACAGATGGGTAGTCAAGCATACTTCACTGGTTTTCATATACCACTATTTATTGTTGCAATGTTAGGAATTCTTACAGTTGTCACAGTTACTCCATTGTTTCTTATTGCATACCCTGTATTTTACAAATTATTGCCACAAAAATTGCAGGAGAAGAAATTGATGGCATTTCTACTCACAAAATTAGAAAAGCTGAAGCCAATTTTTGATGCATTCCAAGGTTGCTTTGAAGACAAATATCGTTTCTTTGCTGGACTTTATTTTCTTTACCGCATTATTTTGGTCAGCGTGTTTTCACTTATTAACGTACCCCTGGCCTCACTTTCTGTTGCTCAAATCATCGTAATGATAATTTTAGCAATTCATTTAAAGTTTCAACCATACAAGAAGAAAATTCACAATGATGTTGATGGATGCCTGTTCTTGCTTTTAGGTATAATCAATACTCTCACACTAACACGATTCTTTGAATCTCTCTCTCAGACTCAACGAGGTGTAAAAATTTTAACAGGACTTATTCAACTACTACTGGTGTATATTCCTATGTTCATTTTTATTTTCAGCTTTGTTATTGCAAAGTGCTGCTCCAACAAAAAGAAGTACAATATTAATATTCGGAAAAAATCATTAGTGTCTAGTACAAAATCTGAATCACCTACTTCTGATTTGGAGATTTCTCGTAGCCATTTTGTGGCATCAACAAGTTATCTTGATATGGATACTATCAAAGCTGAAACAAATTTGGATGATAGTACTGACTTACGTCCAGAACTGCAAGTAGTTTTAGATTCTTAATTAATTTTGCGTGCTATTCAGTTTAGTATTGTATTGCTCATAAATTGATATAATTATTTTTTTGAATTTGTTTTTTGTAAACATTAGCAGCAGGATAAACATATTTTAGTTTCATCTGTCATGAAGGCTTAACGTTGACAATGAAATACACATGCAAAACACTTTGTGTAAATTTCCTGTCATACATTGAACAAGGCTTGCTTTGTTAATCTGTGTAAGTATTTTATTTAAGTCATGCATAACACACTGATTATTACTATAAAATTGACTGTGTATAGTTTACTAGTCCACAGTTTGCAACAAAACATGAGTAGGTGTGTCTTTCTATCTTCTGAGCAGTGTAGGCGCCAGGCTGACACACGTGTTTGCACGTGATTGATCATTTTTTAAAATGGCGTCTGTGGGTCCAATCAGAGGGAAATCAAAATCTGGTCGAGTTTGGAGAGACCCTGGACAAAAGTAATTTAATTGGGATCAAAACACATTACAATGTTCTGTGTAGAAGTTTTAATTCAATTGCTGTATCTTCGTTGAAACAACCATGGAATAAAAGACAAAGAGAACTTGCTGAGAAAAAGGCAGCTAAGGAATTGGAAAGGGAATTGAAGGAGACAGCAAGGCAAGAGAAAGAGGTAAGAAGATTTTATAACTTTACTAACTAATGCCAGACTATTTTTGACTTGAGTGTGCTCATCGCATTAGCTCTTCCTTGCTCTAGTTAATATCCATGTTCAATTATTTATTAAGGGCTGCCCAATAAAAAAGTATGGGCAAATTTACGATGTTCTTAAGTGTGAATTAATTTTGATCACAAAGAGTTATTGGCATCTGATAAAATATTTCAATAATTGTAATTATGAATTATAATTTTATAATTGTAATTTGTTTCTGACACAGTTCTTAGTTTGTGGCACAGCTTTTGTAGTGATTAATTTTTATGGGATGTGGCATAATGCATAATAATTACCTAATTCACCATAAACCCAGTAGTCTAGAAAGGAAAAAATTTGGCAAGTTGCTAATTTTTGGTGATGGGTGGGTTTTAATTTGGTGGCTATGCAGGGTTTCCCACAAAGCATGCTAAGTAAGTAAAAAAGCATGGTTCATGAGCTGACAAGCACTACAATACATGACATTTAAGAGCAACTTTTAAAATTTCCAATTTTAATTGAAATTGGTTCAAACTTGATAAAAAGCGTTAGAGCATGTATATGTATTAGGGCTCGGTGATAGTAGTAATATCACTATCATAATATTTAGTAACTCTAATATCATGATAGTGAACATATCACGATAGTTCAGCCATAGGGTTTACATGTGGAAATACAATGATTTATTTAAGGATGTGTCATTGTACTTATTTAATCCAAATTTTTAACAAGAAACACTGTCCCGCTATACAGAAAACACGTTCACATGGTGCTGATGTAGCAGGGACAGTGAAAACCTTGAATTAAGCTGTGCTAGTAAGTCGTACCACTCTATTTGTGGAAGTTGTCATTAATTAGGAGCTATTACAGCTGTAAAGTGTCATTTATGCCATGCTCCATGCACACATAACAACTATCATGATACCGTATCGGGTATATTTCAATGCATGAAAAGTCGTGGAAATATTAAGTTCAATGATGGAATAATTCGGAAGCCTTTTATATTCCGAAAATATTTTACTTGCTATTATTTCCATCAACCACCTAGTTTGGTAAGTTTGCTGACTTCTCCACTTCTGGATCAACCTTAGCAACACTTTTAACTGGCAAAGAAGGCTCTTATGGCCTTCGAGTTAGACTAGAATGCAGCCATGGATAGTTATGAAGCCACGTGTTCATAATAATTGCACAATACCACATATCTTCTATTCCTTTTTATCCGCATATTTTAAAATTTCATAATATTTATTTTCGCAATGGATTGCTTTTTCCGAAATTATTAATGCATTGAAATATACCTGATATACGGTAGTTAGAATAACAGTATCACTATCATGATAGGCTATACACTATCACGATAGTGCAACTATCGATACTATCGCCCAGCCCTAATATGTATCAGAAAAAAGTTATAAAAATGGAGAATCCTCTCCTAGCCATTAATGATGAAATTGGCCTTTGATAATAGCCTTTGGTCATTGGCCCAATTTTTGAGCAACTTTAAAAATTCATAAAAAATCTAAATTTGATCAGAATCAGCTCAAACTTGCTACACAACATAAAGACACGTATATGTATCAGAAAAAATTATAAGAATTAAAAATTCTCTCCTAGTCCTTTTTGGCAAAATTTGGCTTGTGACCCAAGGCTATAGCCTTTGGTCGTTGGCTCGATTTTTTAGTAACTTTAAAAATTTATTAAAAATCTAAATTTGATCGGAATCAGCTCAAACTTGCTACACAACATAAGGACATGTATATGTATCAGAAAAAATTATAAGAATTAAAAATCCTCTTCTAGTCCTTTTTGGCAAAATTTGGCTTGTGGCCCAAGGATAGCCTTTGGTCGTTGGCTCGATTTTTTAGTAACTTAAAAAATTTATTAAAAATCTAAATTTGATTGAAATGAGTTAAAAATTGATACACAGCATATGGACATGTATATCTATCAGGAAAAAATATCAAAATGGAGAATTCTCTCCTAGCCATTTTTTATGAAATTTTTAATTGGCTCAATTTTTTAGCAACTTTAAAAGTTCATAAAAATCCAAATCTAATTGGAATCAGCTCAAAGTTGATGGTACACAACATAAGGATATATTTTTGTCAAAATACCCTGTATTATAGTACAGGGTCTTTTGGCCCCAATTTTGAGAAACTTGACAATCCACTGGCGAGAAGCCATTATGCCAAAGTCCTGTGAGAAACCCTATGGCTAATTGGCTATGTGCCATTGAGCATGCACAGAATGGTTTGAAGTAGTGGGTTTTATTGGTGAGCGGCTATCAAATTTTCAAAAGTGATCCCTCCTAATTTACCAGCTGCATGATACTACTATGCACAGCGTTCAGCCATAGTTTTAAACATTTATGATTCCATCAAGCATAGTAAGAATAAAATGCATTGAGTTTATGTCAAAGTCAAGACTAATTCAATGGTGTCAGTTGTTGTAGTGTCAGTGGTCATAGGCTGTACCCTTTTAGGAAAAAAAGAGAAGGACTGAAGAGAATAAGAAAAGGAGAGAAGAAAATGCAAAAAAATCTGAAATAGTGCAAAAAGTAATTATAATTTTCCTAAAATATTGCTGCATGTGAATTGATTATTTCAAGTTTTCAACCCTATTTCAGCTTTATTCATACATGTACCTTAAATCTAATTTTTACTTGTTGATAGATTTGGCTTTAATAATTTTATTCATTGTATCAACTGAAGGATTGCAATTTATAGAATTGTCAAGGATTAATTTGTCATTGAGTGCATGTAGAGTGAAATATTAATTTTATAATTGTGGATACCATATGCACTGTTTCCATTTATTTCTTTATTTTGTTCTTCTAGATTACTAATACTGCAAAACTAAAGCGGCTCTCAAAGAAACAATTGAAAATGATTAAGAAACGTTAAATTGATATTATAATAAATACATTTTGGGATTTTTTTCATCTATCAAACATTAGGTATATATAGGTTTAATTGGGTTGCAAATTTAGGTTCATGATATCAAAAACAGCTTAGATATAGGCTAATCAGTTATAGTATAGATTCAAGCTACATTTAATGATCATATTTGTGCAAAATCGTCTACAAGAGGGCGTTGCTCTATCCGTTATCATTAGAGATAATTCCCGGTAATAGATGGGTGATATGCTGACAAAGCTCAGTCCTTTGCTACTGTACTACAGTACCAGGAAGAAGTCAGGCCGTCATAGTATCTGCTTGACGATAGGTCTACAAAGATCGAAAGAAGTTTAGAGCTAACCTTGGTCTATCTCTGGAGTCTGGACCAGGTCTATGCTACAGTAGCCTACATTATCTTCGCAATTCAAAATGGCTTCACCTTCCGGTGAGTAATAGTTTTAATTTCGTATTATACATAATCTATACATAGAGCCTTACATTGATCTAGAATGGAGAAGTCAGCATGTTGCTGTGACAGTTAAGGACTGCCTGTACATCTGGGGAGGAAACCAACCTCGCCTTCCTCCAGCTCACAAGTCTGCTCTGAAGCTGAGATTGACTTCATTTGTTTGTACACTCCGCCTTTCGTCTGGAAGGTGGTCATCTCAGCATACAACAGGTAGTCCTCCATTAGGCGTCAGAGGATATGCATGTGTTACTAATGGCACTAGCATCTTGTATTTTGGCGGGCGATGTGGGCATCATCAATGCTATCACAATAGTGTTAATTCGCTGGATACACTGACTATGAATTGGTCTGAGCTTCATCCTACAGCAGATAATTATGTTACTAAAAGAGGATATGGTGGTATGGTAATGATGGAGACTAATGGTGCGAAGCATCTGCTTGCAATTGGCGGATTAGGCTCTGAGTCTGTTGCTGGTCATCGTCATTTTCAATACACAAAAACACCTTCTGGAAATGTCCGAACTAATGAGCAAAATCTTTTTAATATCTCAACTAGTAAGTCAGCATAATTCTTGCATGCCAACAGACGTAATTTTTAGTTTTTAGCTATATGTTTACAGGATATGCATGTAATTATTATGGATTAAATTTGGTACATGTACAAGAGCTAGTAAAGATGCAATATGTTATTTTTGAATTCTTCCCTAATTTTACTATGATAGAGCATTCCTATAATGCCATTTAGAAATTTAATTTAAGATGAAAACACTTTGTTTTTACAGGGCAATGGATTATACCTACTGTTAGTGGACATTGTTGCCCTCCCACTAGTGGGTTTTCCATTCAAAATATTAATAGTAAGAAAGCTGTCATGTTTGGTGGGAGAGTGACAGAGGATGGAGTCAGTGTGCCCAATAACAATATGTACTTATGTGAGGTGAACAACAGCACAATAGTAAGTTCTATTTTAATGTATGGGCTGTACAAGTAATTTTGTTATGATGTAGCATTGGGAAAATGTTAAGCAACCTGGACCAGGCAATGGACTCTGGCCTGCAGAGAGATATCGCCATGCAAGCACTACTGTTATTGGGGATTCTTTGTCACCTACAATAGTAATGATAGGTGGTGCCGATAGACAATTCAAGCCATTGAGAGATGGATGCTGGCTATTTCAAACTACAAATCATAATTGGGGAAAGGTATAATTTAGAGCGTAATGTACAAAAATAAAAGTTATGCATACACAATAAATTTCAGCCTAAATGATAAAAATGACTTTGTTATGCCCTAAGTATAACCTATGGTGTATTATATAGATTGATCTGCCAGACTCTGTCAGTAACAGATATGATCATGCTTTGTCGTCTTTTTATGTGGGTCCTAATCATGTATGGCTGGTGATAGTGGGAGGTTGTCTGGAAGGAGAGCAGAGAAATGTTGGGAAGCCTAAAAGAACATCTCCAGTATATGTTCATGAGCCAGCTTTAACAATGCTCATTGAGTTAGGTAAATGAAACACTGATAGTTTGTTTAATTAATTTTGAGTTATTGCCAACATTTTCTGTAATAGTTTTCATAGAAGGAAATTGGTCAGTAATGGATGTGCTAGATTTCAATGCTCTTTCTAGTGAGCACTTTCAATGGAAGTATCAAGCATTAATCAATACAAGGCAATGGTGGGAGGATTGGTTTTACAAGAATCCATCAAATACTGATGTTTTGCTTCACAAACGTATTCAATCACTGGAAAATGAACTTCAAGAGTTGCAAAAAAGCCAATTGACCTTGAAGCATGAAGCAGGTAATGTAACTGAATTTTAATCATACTTAAATAATTGTTATAAAGATACCAAACTTCAGTCCCTAAAAAGTGAACTTCAAGTTTCTCAACAAAACAAAGTTTCTTTGCAAGAAGCTCTCCTTGAAGCAGGTGCAGCATATGTAGTTAGAGAGAAAATTGATATTTTATACATATCATAGAAAAGGAATGCGATAAACTTCAAATAGACATTCTTCAAATATCCGAAAGAAAATCTCTGCAAGAAGTAGAAGGTATGGTTATTATAATAAATTTAATTATAATTGCTTGAGGCCACTTCAGTTTTATTCATAATTTCACCTTTCATGGGTGGGGCTAATGCGGGCAGGCGCAGAAGCTTCATCAATATTCATTAATACTTCAATCGATGTGTATAATCAAATAATTAATTGCTGATGTGGATGTGTGTGGGTGGGAAAGGAGAAGCAATGAACCCAAGAACAATTAATTACTTATACATTTTTGAAAATTCATTGTTTCAAAAGTACATAAATGCATGATTTTTTGTTGTAGGTTGCTTTGTTGATGATAATGATAGTAAAACTTTCACTTTAGCTCTCACTGGTATGACAAAAGTTTATTTTAATATTTTACATGTACCTTTAATTTTAAAGAAGAAAAACCTAATGTTCAGTTTTCTGCGGAAAGAGATATGACAATTGCTAAGCTAAAGAAGGAAAATTTGCAGCTAAAGGAAAAGCTCAACAACATATCATTGAATGATGTAGGTGTACAGTGTGACTACTGGACCAAAAATGGTAAAAATTTACTTTATTTGCATGTAGGCTACTCATGCACGTGCATGTAAGGATGTCATACATTGTAATCTTGTATCTTTTTTTAGAGTTACCATTTGATGACATGATCACTTTGGGCAGAAAGCTATGCATGTTTGATACCAAAAGCAGTCATGAGTTGCACTTGGAAGAGTTAGGCCTGTTGTTATCTTTACCTGATGGGCTATATTCTCCTGAAGATTGCACAGTATATGAAGCAGCTGTTCAAGGTTTATGGGGAGGAAATTTTGAGTTCCCTGCAGACACACATCTCATTAGCAGTGTGTGCTATATCTCTCTCTCTCCTACTGTTTCTCAACTGAAAAAGCCAGTCACTGTACAGCTAGTACATAGTGCTCATTTGACATCTTCATCTCAGAGTCAATATTTAAGCTTTGTAGTAGCTCAAGTTAATTTGGATAAACAGGCTGGCCCATTTAAGTTTGAGTTCTTGCCTGGAGGATCTTTTTTACCTAATTCACAGATTGGTAGCATTGAAGTTAAAAGCTTTTCATTGTTAGCTATTGTCATGGGTGTTTGTGCTGCTGGAGTCATAGCTGCTGGAGTCATAGCTGCAACTAGTTATACAGCAAAAAAGTTAGTTACTGATGGTTATTAATTTGAAGTTTACCAGCTAAGTTATAGAAATGCAACTCCTGATTTCTATTGCCGTGCCCTGATGTACAAAAAGGTGTCATGTAATCGAGTGATGCTGAATTTGACTGTAATTCAAGATCTTCCTTCTTGTAAAGAAGTTAGTTTATAGTCAATCAATGCATTGTAATCACTATTGTGAATTACAGCTTTTAGAGCGAGACTCCACTGTTCAATTTCTACTTGGTACTGAAGAAACAAGTTTTCGTTTTCCTTCAAAAGTTGAGGCAGATGACCACTTAATGAAAGTCAACAACTTTCCCTCTGAACCAATTGATGGTTGGATAGTCAAACCTTTTAATCCCCCTGCAGCAGTTAGTACATGTGTTTAAAATTATAGTTTTGTATTTTTCATGAAATAGATAAAAACAAACGATGTTTTTGATTATTGTGATAGTAAAAGTGCTGAGCCGCCATATATTCAAATATTAGTTCAACCTGATAATCCTGCATGTGCTGATACACTGTCTCATACTTTACATTGTAATATGTGTAATTATAGTCGTGATTGGTCTATCGAAGTATCAAAAACTGAAATATCATCGCATGGTAGGATAAAATATTTTTGTACATAGTGTTCAATTTATTAAACAGAAAATATCCTGCTTGACTCTTCCGGTTTGAAAAACACTCCTATTAATCAAGGTAGTTTACTTAATAATTATTATATTCAAATGAGTACATGTGCTTTTTTTAGACATTTTAGCTCTTCCTTGTGGTATATTTCGTGAAAAAATTCATTTGCTGAGTAGTTTGATAGGAAATGAGGCTATTTTTCCAAGAGTTGTTGATCATCTTCTCAGTGAAGACTTGATCTCAATAGCGTTCATTGATGACATTAATTCAAGTAATAAGTCAGGCTACAATAAAGCTAGTGAAATCGTCAGACAATTGTTTAAAAATCTGCAATCAAGTGATTTGCCACAACAGATGTTGGAAAAAATTTGTCATGTATTTACTCAACAAGAAGACAAGAGGTTAAAAGAACTTGGACACAGTATGCTAAGCAGTGTTTCTGCACAAAAATAATTAGACGATAAACAAATTGAGAAAATATTATTTTAGTACATTTGAATTTTAAATCTTTGTGTTTCATTTTACCATATTTGAATTGTTTAAATATTATTATTGCTGTTTTCTTGTCCCCACTGCACATGGTGCTATATCCAATATTAATGCAGTGGTTTTGCTTTAAATTATGCAAGCAATTTATATACGAGTTAATAAATAACAATTAAGCTATGTGCTTAACTATCTAATTTATTATGGTTCTCAAAAGAGTTCAAACACCCTCATGAGTTATTGTCAGTTTTCATATCATTAATAGTAATGGGGGTTAATGCAATGACTTCACGTGACAGGTAGCAAAGATTTCAATGACATTTATTATCAAGAGTATGCTGTGTTTGCTGCCAATTTCACACACTCTGTCTGCCTGCATACAGATTTGATATACACTTTTATAAGTAGTATATAAGTTTCTAGCCTTCACGAAGCCAAGAGTAGATAATAATTATTATCTACTCTTGATGAAGCTGACATAGACTGAACCTTTTTAGTATGGATTAAATATGAGTATTGGCTTTTCAAATATTCCTGTTAAACTATATTTTATGAACTTGTATCATGGCATTAGCACTGGCCTTGATGAAACTTTATTAATTAAAAGAATCAATATTGTGGATTAAAATATATTTTAATATTAAATTTAATACAATACTTGTCACAGTTAATCTTTACATCAACAAAAAAATCTAAAACCCTTTTAAAATTGTGAAACTATCAGTTTCGTACAAAATCAAAATCATCAAGATAAAAATGATCATCACATAACGGTAAATCAGTTAATGTGGGAGCAAAGGAAGTAGCAACAGAATCAAAGTACCTACAGTTTGTTGGGTGTGCCTATAAAAATAAAAAAATAATGATAAATAGAATCTATATCAAAAGAATTGGTGTTTCTCCTGAATCTATATAACATCAAATAATGTCTTGCTGTGACAAATGGCTAATTCAATCAACATATCACACAGCATGTGCATCAGCTAATTGCACCATCACTCCTAGCTACCATAGGGAAGAACCCAAAAGTATTGATGCTGGAATGATATCAGCTTTAGATCTCAACTTTAATCCAACAATGCATAGGCCATACTAATGACAATCCTTACATTTTATTGTACTATTACATGTACATATAATCTTACTAATTTTGGAAAACGTGGAGTGACATTACAGGCAAGCAGCTGGTCCCATTGCCAATCGCATAAAACTGTTTGTCGAGATAGTGAACTTGTAATTTCACCTAAAATAATAAAATTAAAATTTGTTTATTATTTTTGAGTAAGTTTATAGACACAGTAAATACCAGTATATACACTGTAGCAAAATTTAGGATTTAAAATTGAAAATTAAACCTCATGACATCATCAAAATAATAGATTATCTCACTTGAAAACTTCTGAATAACACTGCCAGTTGAGATTCCTTTTGAGCTGAGCAGCTCTTGTCATCTAGTTTCTTTCCTTAAATATTTACTCTCTTCTTCTGGATCCATTGGATGTTGTGAAAAGAAGCAATGCTTCTTAATGTCATTATGTGACACACTGGAGTCATTTTCATCAACAGTTCCTAGTCTTATGTCAGGATTTGTTTGAATTAGCTACGTATATATTTCATACAAATGATGTAAACAAATACATGTACATGTAGCATAGTTCTGCCTATGGTGGTCAGGGGTGGTTGGGACAACTGCCTCAACAAATGAACCAGTTCATCAGTTAGACCAACCATGCAATTTATATTAATAACCATGCATAAAGCATGATACTGTATCTACTAGTAAGCCTGTAAGGTGCACATAAAGGAACAATATTAGTCTCCAACCACCTCTAATTTTTTTTAGGCAGAACCCTAATGTAGTTCAAAAATTTCTTACTTCATCGAGCTCTAATCGAAGCAAACATTGGCATCTTAAATGTCGTCCATCCTCCAACAAATAATTTCTTGAATTTTCAAAGATCATCCTGTTAATAGGTTCAAGTTTATTGGGGCGAGCCTGAGCTCGCCCCACTCTAGCTATACTCTCAGTCACGCCCCGTCTGTCTGTCTGTGTGTCTGTCCTCGTACGTCACCCCTATTTATGCGTAGATCTAATACGGTAGATAGATGCTATGCATTACCAATGCAATTTTCAATTTTTCATTGAAAGTGGGAGCGGTCACAGTAAAATAAAAATGGCAACCAACACACTGGAAGAATTCATAAGCTTTCTAGCAGCAATATAAGGCAGATACACCGTCCAAAGACTTCTCCAGCAGCTATAGAAGGTTTTTAATTCAATTAATAACCTATGAAGCTCGTCTTTATTGATGCAATTGCTATTAAAACTGTGAAAGTCAATCAAACTTTTTCTCAGTCATCTTAATATTGGATAATATTAATATTGGATAATATTATATCTAAAGCTAAGTAAAGCATCTTTACAGACATTTATAGGCAAGAAATGTGTATGTGAAACTAGAAGACTAAAAGTTTATTAATTTTATCAGCAGCATTAAACTTTCATCATGTAAATCATGTTTGCTATGCCTAAATCATGATGCATGCTTTGAAATCATCGGGAGTAGATTATAGATGGATAGATCCAGTGCCATATAATTGCTTTGCTAGCTTAGGCTCGCCCCTTAATGTTCTACATTGCTTCTAGTAGGTTCAAGTTTATAGGTTCAAGTTAATAGGCTATAGATAAAAGGCTACTAGGTTCAAGTTTATTGGGGCGAGCCTGAGCTCGCCCCACTCTAGCTATACTCTCAGTCACGCCCCGTCTGTCCCTCTGTCTGTCTGTATGTCTGTCCTCGTACGTCACCCCTATTTATGCGTAGATCTAATACGGTAGATAGATACTATGCATTACCAATGCAATTTTCAATTTTTCATTGAAACTTAAGTGGGAGCGGTCACAGTAAAATAAAAATGGCAACCAACACACTGGAAGAATTCATGAGCTTTCTAGCAGCAATATAAGGCAGATCCCGTCCAAAGACTTCCCCAGCAGCTATAGAAGGTTTTAAATTCAATTAAGAACCTATGAAGCTCGTCTTTACTGATGCAATTGCTATTAAAACTGTGAAAGTCAATCAAGCTTTTTCTCAGTCATCTTAATATTGGATAATATTATATCTAAAGCTAAGTAAAGCATCTTTACAGACATTTATAGGCAAGAAATGTGTATGTAAAACTAGAAGACTAAAAGTTTATTAATTTTATCAGCAGCATTAAACTTTCATCATGTAAATCATGTTTGCTATGCCTAAATCATGATGCATGCTTTGAAATCATCAGGAGTAGATCATAGATGGATAGATCCAGTGCTATGATTGCTTTGCTAGCTTAGGCTCGCCCCTTAATGTTCTACATTACTTCTAGTAGGTACAGGTCAAGGCACAGGTTCAAGTGTGTGCCAGAGTGAGAATTGCAAAAGCTATGAATTTCATTATTTTATCCTATCACGCCTACATAGAGTAAGACAATCAATCACACTCACACTGGTCTTCATCTGAATCAATGGTTTTCCCTCGGGTTTTCCTAACAACTGTCCTTTTTATCATCTCGATTTTTAGCCATGAAGTTATAGGATGTTCTACGGACATTAACTGGACTTTCGATGTTTTTGTATGGAATGCAGACTATCATCATGGCTCTAGATCTCTCGTGTCTAATTGTTCGTCACCTTTGTCGGCAAACGTCACCATCCCCTATCTTCAAGATGCACTTGAATGTGTGTCTGATCTACCTTCAGAATTTGCTGCAGTAAGAGTACATTTAGCTGTGTCTAAAAAATTTACCTTATTGAGGCCCATTTCTCTTGGCAATCGCTCTATTTGCATCACAGCTAGTTCTATGTCTGACACCCCAAAATCCTCTGGGAAACCTACTATCCATTGTGTGGATCATGAATCACCAAGTGAAGCAGAGGAGCAGTATCCCCTCAAGCATTATCTCTTTTTTGATAGAAGTAAAAAAGTTGAGATAATCTCTGTTGTCTTTGAAGCCTGTCGTCATCCACTCAGTTTTGATTCTGCCAGAAACGTTGTCATTGAGGATTCGGCATTTAGGTAGTCAATAGGTTTATGTTGAATGATGCACTTATTTTTTAATTATTTTTCTTAATAGGCACTTCAAAGATGCTGTCCTTGACATTTATAACTGTGAAACAGTCACAATATCTGGCTGTATGTTTTATGACAATGTTGGTATGGGGAGCAATGAATTACCATATCGTGGTAATACAGGCTCTGTTTCTATTGGTTACAATGATATGGACACAGGCTATAATAATCCTAAGATAATTGTGAGGGACACACATTTTGTCAATAACTCAGCTTACCATTACAGAGGAACTAGTAAAGCATTTTTTAGAGGAATATTTCAAGGTAGGGCCGGAGGATTGGGCATCTTTATCAACGAGAGCTATCACAATGTGAGCATATTGGTGAAGAATTGCAAATTTATCAATAATCAAGCTGTAGCATTTGGTGGTGGGCTGTATTTTATATACAATGGTCGCAATTCTTACCATACCGGAATCGTAGAGGATTCAGATTTTATTGACAATGTTGCATTCCTTGGAGGTGGTGGATTTATTAGTTCTATTATATCCAGCGGTCTCAAAGAAGCTCCACACTTAGTTAAATTTACAAATTGCTCCTTTCAAAATAATATGGGCGATTCTGGTGGTGGTATGTACTTTTATGTTATATTTAGTGGAGGAAAAGGAAATAGCTTGGAATTGAATGAGTGTGCATTTATTGCCAACAGAGGCGTAAATAGAGAAAGTGAGTTTGGTGCTGCCATAGCTGCTTCTATTTATGATAAGTTTGAAGAGAAAGACTCCTTCCCATATCATAGCATCAGTGATTGGTATGTCTATGTAAATATCTAGCTTATCGATTATTATTTCTGTAGTGTATTCATTAACAATACAGGCACTAATGGAATTGTAAGTCTTGGGTATCTTCCTTTTAGTCTTTCTGGCAGGAATGTCTTCTCTGGTAATATTGGATCAGCTTTAAGAGTCAGTTAATTTTGTTGCTATGATGGCTATTATTTTAAGCAGGTTGTTGGAGCTCAACTGACTATGAGTGGTGAGCAACTCTTTATAGGAAACTCTGCAGAAGCTGGAGGTGCACTGTATCTTTTGTCCTCTGCTCAAATAAGAATATCTGAAGATTTGCAGATGCTGTTTGATGGAAACTCAGGCAGGTAGGTGCTTTTGCTATGCTAAATTAAATAAACTTGTCTAATTTTAACTCTGCTTTTGTGTAGATATGGATCTGCTATATTTGTAGATACTTACATCAGGGCAAAGGCATTTACTCACCTACAGGACAATCCACTTTGCTTTATAGTACCCAACTTCAAAAACTACTCTCCTTCCGAATGGGGTGATGTACGTTTTGTATACATTATTTAATGTACTTCACAATATTTATACATATAGAAAGGAATTAATATTACATTCACACGAAACAAGGCACTATTTGGATCAGCTATTTATGCTTCTCGTCTGTCAGCTTGTTCATGGATAGGTAGTCAACCACCATATTTTGATATAAATTACTTCACTCAATGGCCTATTTTTCATGTCAGGTATAGCCTTCTTTGATCTTAGTCTTATTTTTAATTTCTTGTAGAGATGATAATATCAATACTGGATACTCTGACAATTCCTTTAATTTGTCAATTATTACAGCAGCCAATGATATTGACATTGAAACAACAGCAGTATGTTTTTTTAAAATGGTACATTTGTCTAATTATCAATCATCATTAGTTTTCTGGTTGGCCTGGGCAGAGTCACGAGTTGAGACTGAAAGCTATTGATGAGTTAGGTAATCCCACTGGTTCAACTTTTAGCCTTACATATGAACAAATTATGAAGGTATTTAGATGTATGTACTCAGTTCTGAGTATCAGTAGTTTTTTTGTAGAATAATTTTATTGATGATGTGAGTATCAATCCTAACATTTTCTTGATAACTGAAGAGCCATTTGTTGCTAATGTTACATTTTATTATAACAAGACGTTACCAGGAAACTACAGTATTGGTAGTATAGCAGTCTCTGCTGATAGTGCATCTGTTAGTATCATTCATTATTGATTTTATTATAGCTTCTATTGCTCTCTGCTCATATTTCATTCATCATTTTTCCAATTTTATAGAAAGTTAGTGATATTCCTTTTAATATCGTTGATTGTCCAATTGGTTGGTCATTGACGTCCGATCATAATTTAAACTACTGTCAATGTGATATGAATCAAGACCAAGTTCTTGCCTGTGAGAAGGATCAAGATGCTATTGTGATTAAAGTATGATTGCTTTCATTGTCTAATTGTTCTGTGTAATTTGCACATGAGTTTTTCTCTTGGATGAATATTGATTCATCGTCTTTCCTTTTTACTCTTTTCCAAAAACTTTTTGGTTTCTCATTTATAGTCTCATATGTGGGCTACTCACGTGTACAATCAGACACCGAATCTTTTCTTATATGAGTGTCCTCCTGGTTACTGCCAGTGTTTTTTTAATACGAGTCTGGGAGAATCACAGTGTGCTTACTCTTACTCTAACTCTTATCCTGATAAACAATGTGCCTGTGGCCGCACAGGTATTTTATACTTTTACTTGTAAGCATAATTGTTAGGTTTTAACTTCAGTATTTCAAATATGATGAACATATTATAGATATCAATTAATTTTGCTAATAGGTATCCTGTGTGGCAGTTGTCCTAGTGGAAAAGGAGTGAGTGTATTGTTTAACAAATGTATAACGTGTAGCCATCAATACGTTTACTTGATACTAGCATTGGGTATGTGTGTGTGTAATCAATTCATGAATATTTCCTTATCTATAAATTATTGTTAGTGTTGTATAAATTTGCTATTGTATTGTCAGGCCTAAAATTGATAATAAAATCTGACAATAGTAATGTTGTTTTTATTACAGATTTGATTATTTCAAATGGCATATCAAAACTTAATAATTCTTTTGTTTGTATAGTAATTGTTGATGTATTAATACTTCTCTTCATTGTGGCTGTTGACAAACCATTTCCATCCTTTTTGTATCCATTTTTATTTTACATTCAAGTAAGTCGAGAAACACTATCTTTCCCTTTTTACCAGCAATTTATATTATAATAGATTGCTCCACTGGCTACGCAGCAGTTTCCCTTATCATTTCAGAAGCACAGTGTTTATGTAAGCAACTGTTAAGCATATTTTTACATTTAACTTTAAAAAATAGCTTTATTACCTATCCAGTTTTATGGGTTTATACTTTCCATATGATTTTTGTATTGATGCTGAATTGTCTGTATCAAATTCCTACCTACTTCGGTTCCTTCCACTACTAGTATCAGTTGTTGTTATATCTTTTATTATTGTCGTAAGGTGAGTATAGCACTAGCATTTTTCATTCTTACCTAACTGACTTACTTCTAGGTCATATATTGCTGGTAAGTTATGCTTCAATAGGTGCAGACCTGGTGTGTTAAAGTTTCATGGTTTGTGGCTTGCACTATTACTTGTTTATCCTCAGACTGCTTATGCTGCTATGAGTGTACTGAATTGTCCTTATGTTCCTCAAAATGGTCATGTAAGCTCACAACTTTTTCATATTGTAATAGTACATTTTGAGTCTAGAGCATAATAATTATTCATTTTGATTTTAGTTGTCAATGCATATTTTATAAGCAATATACTGTATGGTGCTTTAATTCAGTGGTGTTTTATTCTGGCAATTGGCAGTTTGCAAGCAGAATCGCCAATATTAAAATTACCAATCATTAATGCGCATGCTCAGTAATGCACGTGTACACAAAAATTGCCAAATTAAAAACCGCGAATTACAATTTACAGCAAAACCACTAAAATAAACCCCTTTAAAAAATAAAGTGCTATACACCATTATATAATTGCTACTGACACAAATAAATCTGATGCTTACTATAAATAACTTTAATGGATAATAATTAATTACTGTTTATATAATACATGTAGGTATGGTATTTTGATGGTTCTTTGTTGTGCTTTCAAAAAGATCACTTATTTGTGGCTATTCCTGCCGTAATTATTGCTATTCTATTGGCTATTATTTCTATTTTACTTCTTATATTGGCTATACTGACTTGCAAAAATCAACAAGTTAGAGATATTTTTGGGTTTCTTTGTTTAATTGTGAGTCCTTGTAGATGCTTGGTTGGCTTCATAGAATTAAATCTTCATTTGGAGAGCCATTTACAGAAAATTTGTCATGGTGGTCAGTAGTGGAAATTAACAGAAGGCTACTATTTCTTATAGTAATTATCATACCTAATAACACTGTGAGTTATAATTGGTATAGTAGTGTTTGCTACAAGGAAATTATTTTGATTTTTTATTTTTAGACGTATTTGACCTTACTTATCATGTGCACAATGACTTTATATGGCTATGTCAGGCCATACAAGGCACTGCTAACAAATGCTATTGAAGTGATCGTCCAGCTAATCTTCATTCTTCTTTTATCAATGCAAACTAGTTCATTCTTTAATGAAACCTTCTCTTACAACGCAACTAATATTACCAGTGATAGCATTCAATGTGATTTTGCTTCTCTTGACAGAGATACTGCCACTTCTGAGTATTTTCTTTTAGTGTGGTATTATATGCCTCTAATTGTCCTTTTGTTAGGAATGCCTGTCATATTTCTTACCGTAAGAGTTATAGGCCGTTTAAGAAACAAGAGAAGAAGTCAAAGAAATACTTTGACAGAAACAAGTATGAGAGAATATGGTGCTACTCAAAATTGGGAATTCATAAAAAGTGGTGACCGTTATCATTTTGTAAGTGTGGAACTGTAATACTTAAGACAGTATTATTTAATTGTTTCTATTATTAGTCTGTTAATTGTATTTAATTTTGTGTTTTTGAAGTAACTTTGCTATCTTATTAGTATTGATGATCACTGTTTTCAGTATTAAAATATTTTTATGAGCATTAGACATGTTTTTTCTCTGCATTTTTTATTTGTAAAATAGCTAATTGTGATCAAATTTTGTAGCATATAATATCAAAAAAATTTTTAAACTATACAGATCAAACAAAACTACTACACCAGTAAGGACTTTACACAATAAAATTGAATATTAAGCACTATCTTTCAATTTTGTGTTACTTCTTAATATTATATTTTTGTTTGTCATTGATAATTTTCAAAATAAAAACGACAAAAAAAACATCTAAAAAAACAAATAAAAATTAAACAATCAGTTTCGTACGAAATCAAAATCATCAACATAAAAATGATCATCGCATAACGGTAAATCAGTTAATGTGGGAGCAAAGGAAGTAGCAACAGAATCAAAGTACCTACAGTCTGTTGGGTGTGCCTATAAAAATAAAAAATACTGATAAATAAAAAGCAGAATCTGTCTCAAAAGAATTGATGTTTTATAGCATCAAATAATGTCTTGCTGTGACAAATAGCTAATTCAATCAACATATCACACAGCATGTGCATCAGCTAATTGCACCATCACTCCTAGCTACCATAGGAAGAACTCAAAAGTATTGATACTGGAATGATATCAGCTTGAGATATCAACTTTATGTCAACAATGCACAGGCCATATTACTGACTGTCTCTACATTTTATTGTACTATTACATGTACATATAATCTTACTAATTTTGGAATAAAAGGCGGAGTGACATTACAGGCAAGCAGCTGGTCCCATTGCCAATCGCATAAAACTGTTTGTCGAGATAGCGAACTTGTAATTTCACCTAAAATAATAAAATTAAAATTTGTTAATTATTTAATTTTGAGTAAGTATATACATGTAGTAAGTATAATACACTGCAGCAAAAATTTAGGATTTACAATTAAAAATCAAACCTCATGACATCATCAAAATAATAGATTGTCTCACTTGTAAACTTTTGAATAAGACTTCCAGTTGAGATTCCTTTTGAGCTGAGCAGCTCTTGTCGTCTAGTTTCTTCCCTTAAATATTTACTCTCTTCTTCTGGATCCATTGGATGTTGTGAAAAGAAGCAATGCTTCTTAATGTCATTATGTGACACACTGGAGTCATTTTCATCAACAGTCCCTAGTCTTATGTCAGGATTTGTTTGAATTAGCTACGTATATATTTCATACAAATGATGTAAACAAATACATGTACATGTAGCATAGTTCTGCCTATGGTGGTCAGGGGTGGTTGGGACAACCACCTCAACAAATGAACCAACCAGTTCATCACTTAGACCAACCAAGCAATTAGTACTAATAGCCATACATAAAGCATGATACTGTAGTCTACTAGTATGGTGTACATAAATTTTGAGGGAACAATATTAGCCTCCAATCACCTCTATTTTCTGGCAGAACCCTGATGTAGCTAAAAAAATTGCTTACTTCATATAAAATTGATCGAGCTCTAATCGAAACAAACATTGGCATCTTAAAATGTCCTCCCAAAATTGCTCTGTACAATTCCATTCTGTCCGATGACTCAAACGGCGTCTATAAAAATAAAACCTACAAAAAATGATTAAACGTGTACTTTTCCAGTTATCATTTCAAAGAGAAGTACACCACAGGACCACCAATCAGCACTTGTCGTGTAAGGTTCACCTTTTAGCACTTCTGGTGCCATGTAGTGAGGGGTACCTAAAACAATTAAACAAATTTTTATAAAATATGGTGAGCAGGGTTTTCCACAGGATTTTGGCATAGTGTTAATGTAGCTTTTTGTTAGTGGATTGTCAAGTTGCTCAAAAATTGGACCAAAGACTATGTACAGGGTACATGTATTTCAACAAAAATCACGAGGGGAGAATTTTTTTTGATACATATACATGTTCTTATGCTGTGTATCAACTTTGAGCTGATTCCAATCAATTTTAAAAGTTGCTACTGTACCATTAATTTGATGATAACACATACGCACCGATTTAAATCAGTAAATGATTTTATGAAATGCCATTATTCCACAAAAATACAGCCCTTGAAAATTAATGTATCTCTTTGATGATACATGCAGACCTCCATTGCACTGACTCTCAGTTATTTTTATAACTTAATACCTTACCTGCTAGAGTAGATGTCTTTTCACCTTCAAGCAGCTTTTTTGCACTGCCAAAGTCAGTAAGAACAATGTGCCCAGCTGCCGATAATAAACAATTTTCAGGTTTGAGATCTCTACAACAAAAAGTATCATTAATGACAAGATTGCATGCACGCTAAAGGAACAGAAAATAATACTTTGAAGACGGGGAAATTAAGGGAAGAAAGAAGAATCAAAACAGTTATACATGTAACTGAAAGAGAGGGAGACAAAGGGAGATATTTATAAAACTGCGTCTATAGATGAAGGAGGGATGGGGAATTTGATATCATTTGATCTATACATGATCACTTTCAGTTTAAATCTTAACAATATGATTATACAATAATAATGCTAGACTTATTGTAAGTACATGTATGTCTTTGTATATCTATCATATAGTGCTTTACTTTGGTGGAGCACTTCAATTTACAGTTTGCCCATGATAAATAACTAGCTGTTACTTTTTCTTGTATCACACATATCATTAATCATTACGTATGTTATTTTTGAGAATTACATGTATAGTATTTTTTATTTACATGACACATGTACATGTATGCCAAGCAAGGTCTTGAAGACAGTTACTTAAAGGATTCATTACAGTACAAGAATGCTTGCAGGTAACAGTATTATTTGTATAGTACATGCACATATCAGGGTTTCCCTCAGGATTTTGGCCTAGTTCTCATGCTTTCACTGCTAAGTAAAATTAGGCCAACTCATGTACTATAATTTACAGGATATTTTGACAAAAATCAGAGGGAGAGAATACTTCATTTTTATATTTTTTTCTGGCACATATACATGTCCATATTTTGCATATCAACTTTGAGCTGATTCCAATTAAATTTGAATTTTTTATGAATTTTTAAAGTTGCTCAAAAATCAGGCCAAAAACCTAAGGTTATAGCCTTGGGTTACAGGCCAAATTTCATCAAAAATGTTTCAGAGAGAATCCTCTATTTTTACAATTTTTTCTGATACATATACATGTCCTCATGTTGTGTATCAACTTTGAGCTGATTCTGATCAAATTTGGATTTTTTATGAATTTTTAAAGTTGCCCAAAAATCAGGCCAAAAACTTAAGGATAGCCTTTGGTCACAAGCTAAATTTCATCAAAAATGGCTACAAAAGAATTCTCAATTTTTATAATTTTTTTAAAAACATATACATGCCCATATTTTGTGTATCAACTTTGAGCTGATTCCAATCAAATTTGATTTTTTATGGATTTTGAAAGTTGCTCAAAAATCAGGTCAAAAACTTAAGGCTATGAGCCTTTGGTCACAAGCTAAATTTCATCAAAAATGGCTACAAAATAATTCTTGATTTTTATAATTTTTTTCAGATACATATACACGTCCTCATGTCGTGTATCAACTTTGAGCTGATTCTGATCAAATTTGAATTTTTTATGAATTTTTAAAGTTGCTCAAAAATCAGGCCAAAAACCTAAGGCTATAGCCTTTGGTCACAAGCTAAATTTCATCAAAAATGGCTACAAAAGAATTCTCCATTTTTATAATTTTTTCTGATACATATACATGTCCTCATATTGTATATCAACTTTGAGCTGATTCCAATCAAATTTGGATTTTTTATGAATTTTTAAAGTTGCTCCAAATTGTAGTTCTTGTCAGCTCATGAAGCATGCTGTTTAGTTCACTTAGATGCCTTGTGGGAAACCCTGACGTACATATACATGTAGTATTTTACAAAGCAAGTAATTTGTAAACTACAGTGATGCTTAAATCCACACATATTATTACTATATTTGGCGATTCAATACTATGTCATAATATTTGTGGGTCAGTCACAAAATTATAGTTGTTTTTATGGTATAATGGTATTAAGTAATGTATTTTATTACAAAATGCATGAAATTGTCTACCTAAATATGATCCCAAGGCCATGAAGGTATTCTAGTGCTAAAACAATTTCACCGATGTAAAATCTTGCTCTTGCTTCAGTAAAACGACCCTCTTCCTTCTAAATGAAAAGACATGGAACCTCTTTTGTAAGCAGGATAAAGTTTTAGCTTACCAAGTGATAAAAAAGCATTCCTCCAGCAGCAAACTCAAACACATAAAAAAGAAATTCACTGTTCTGAAATGAAAACTACAGAAAGAATAAACTGCAAAAAGAATATTCTCAAACATACTTGCAGCACAACACAAAAGGGATGCTTCACAATCCTACATGTACAAAAAATAAAAAATTAAATGGTCACTAAAATGGAATGAAGAATGCAATACTGTAGCCTACTGTTTTAACATACTTTAGTATGTCCATTTCAGATAGGACCTGTCTGATCTGTTTCCTACTTGTGCATTTTGCCTTTGGCACAACTTTCAGTGCATAAAGATGCCTTGTGGGCTTATGAGCAGCTAAAAGGACCTACGTATACAAGTACATGTATTTAAAAATTACTGTATAGCAGGTAATTTTGGAGGGGATTAAATTTGGTAAATTTGGCATTTTGATAGCCATTCGCCAAAATTAAAATCTGCCATTTTGAGCCATTATACGCATGCTCAATGGCATGTGGCCACAAATTCGCCAAATTAAAAATCCGCCAATCACCAAAATTTAGCAATTCGCCAAATTTTAGTCCCTCCAAAATTACCCGCAATACGGTAAATCAAGGTAAAGACATCGCTTTTAACGTTATCAATTGATTCGTTAAGTTTTACATTCAATTTCCATTTAAGATGTCATTTTTATAAATAACAGTTTATATTTTATAAAGAGCATCATGACCATGCTACTAAAAATAAAATCACTAGCATTACTATTGCTTTGCAGAAGATGTAACCTTTCAGGAGAAAAAAACTATTAAGTTTGTAAAGCCTTAAACAAACAGTCCGTTTGTTTAAGGCTTTACAAACTTAATAGTTTAGTGATTACAAAAGTAAAAAAACAAAACTTACTAGTAATATTCCATTATTTCAAACTGTGCTATAATTTAGTGCATGGGGCAATATTTTTGTGCTTAACATTTTTGTATTATCAACAACATGTACTTCAGTATGCACTAATAAAAACACTAAGCAATGCATAGAGAAATTTTTCCAAGGGCCTTCAGTTCTTGGAAAGAAAAATTAAAATTAGAAATACACGAAATAGGATTTCAGACAAATTTCGCCCCCATGCACTTGGCACAAAATTAAAAGTATTGATACAATGGAGTCTATGCAGCCCTAGTGCCAGTCGTATATACCTTTCCAAAAGCTCCCTTTCCAAGTGTCTTCAGAAGCTTAAACTCTTCAACTGTTGGAATACGTGACGCTTCGGATTTAGGTACATCAGGAGGAACATATCCGGGCCCCCTACCATCTGTTCTTTGAGAGCTGAACTTTTTACTGGACGGGTCCCACACTAAGTTTCCATTGGGCAAAATGTATTCTTCATCTGCACGCTCTTCATAAGGATCATTCTCAAGTCTCTGATGTCTCCTCTGGTTCCTGGCCCCGTCCCTACCAACACAAGACGAACAAACTGAAGTCAATCCAAGTCCAATTCGCTTCAACATTTTTTTCAGTTGCCGCCTACTATAGGCGGAGTTTATAAAAAATTATTATGATAATTAAATTATCTTAAAAATAACATAAAATATTAAATATTTCGTATATCACAAACAGATGGAGTTGTAACGTGAGAATGAGAGAGTTCTTTTTCAAGAGACTGCTGGGGTGGTGAAGGAGGACCTCTGGTTTGTCCTGATGGAGGAGGAGGTGAATTATGAGCAGAACTAGTTGAATTTTCAGGAGACAAAGGGTACGCAGCCTAAAGAATAAGATTAATCAAATTAAGGGAAATAAATTTTCACTACGCATAAGTGCTCATTACACATAAGATATAAAGATATGTACCTCAAATTTTTTTCTCAATGCTTGTGCAATCATTGGTGTCAGACCTTCAGCAGTTGATTCTCTTCTCTTGTTACTACGTATCACTGTACCACCTGGGCTACGATCGCCCTTAACAGATCGTAGCTTCTTCTTGAATTCCATTTGAGGAGTGCAGCTATAGCAAGAAAAGAGGAACACACGAGTGTATGACCACACAGGATGTTAATGCACTTACCTCTTTGGTGGGTTACTCTTTCTTGATGTCTTGCTCAGTTTGACACTTTTTAGATCAGCTAATGACACCACAAATTTATCATTATTCACATTGTTAGTACTCTAGAAAATACAAAATAATGTACATAATGAATGCTGTATTTTGGCATCAATGACATATACTTAATGTGATTACAGATTTACAGTGCTTTGAAAGTCATATATACCACATGTTAAAAACTTTTAATTTTGATATTATTCAAGATTATAAATTTTACTACCTCTGTTTTCAAATGATGCACTAAATTTTGCAAATGGATGGCTTAGTAATTTTTTCCTTTACAATATGTAGCACATGTAACATAAAAAAGCAAAGAAGTAGAAACACATGTACTAAACTTACAAGAGCTTTTCTTTTCCTAGTTATAATAAGTTTGGGCATAGTAGAAAATGATGGAGGGGGAGGAGGAGGAGGAGGAGGAGGAGGAGGAGGAGGAGGGGGAGGAGGGGGAGCTGCAGGTACTTCTTGTACTGCAGATGTGCCCTGTATAAAGGAATAATTATTATTATAAAACAATTACAATATTAGCTAATGTACATACATAAGCACTACTTACAGTCTATCATATATACCGTATACCAGTTTATTTTTGCGGTGAAATATTTTCGTAAATTTTGCGGTTTCTTGCTTTTTCGCAAAATTTTTCCACCATGAAATTCTGCATCTCCATTGCCATGTGGTGCAGGTTACAAGCTATTTGCAAAAATTAATCCTGTAAAATCTTAGAAATGCAAGATTCACAAAAATTTTCTATCACAAAAATTAACCGGTATACGGTAGTTTATCGTAATTCAATACAAAATGACACAGTTGGCACTGTCCAACATTGCAACTATTAATTCTGTACATGTATGTTCATGTACAAATGTATGTTTATTCAACATTAAATTTTAGTAATTCATAGCAGTGATGTAAGTTGTTAATGTCATGTATTACTATGGATTTCATACAGGCCAAGGGGAACATGTCAAAATTGATAATAATGTCACATCGTTTTTGGGGCTTGCATTCAAGCAAAAGCTGATTTTTCTATTCTACTTGTTGATAAGTTAATTCCATCAAAAGCTAATCATTTACCTAAACTAATTAGGGGGAACTTAGAACAGGGGATATTCCCCTATATGAAACCCTGGTATTACCATAACCACAACTCTACTACAGTATGCTAGCTTGAATGATAGATTACAGTAGAAATAATTACTTCAGATTGGCCGCTTCCTGTAGCTTTCATAGCAATCAGTTCCGTCTCCATCTCTTTTAAACGTCTCTGAGCATCTTCTAATTCCCGTTTTAAAACTCTAGATGGAAAAATAACATCTTTGGCAACCTCTACTCTCTAAAATAAATAAAGTAAAAAAATACAATATGCATATGCATTGAATACAACGCTGATCATAAAAATGATAAAACATGGTATGCATCATTACATTTGGCATTCATTTTACTCTTTATGACTCCAACAACATGAAATTCCATAGTTCAAATGACCACCCAAACAATTCTCCATGCAGCTTTAATCAATGTAGCTCTACATGTAATTATTGCAATTCTTTTCTTAGGTGTAATTGTCTTTAGAAAAAGTGTAATACACAAGATGAATACATTTTGCTATCATAGATTACCGTATATCGGGAAATTTTGGAGGGAGTTAAATTTGGCGAATTACTAAATTTTGGTGATTGGCAAATTTTAATTTGGCAAATTAGTGGCCACGTGCCATTGAGCATGCGTATAATTGCTCAAAATGGTGGATTTTCTTTTGGCAAATGACTATCAAAATACCAAATTCGCCCAATTTAATTCCTTCCAAAATTTCCCGTTATACAGTATCACATAATATACATGTAGCTTGTAATTTTGGAGAGGTAAATATAATTTTTGGTGATTGCTGGGTTTTAATTTGGCAAATTTTTGGCAATGTTCCACTGAGCATGAACATAGTTGTTTATATTGGTGTGTTTTAATTATTTTGGTAAATTGCTATCAAAGTGATAAACTTTGTTTTAGAAAGGGAGCTCAATGAAGAATTCTCTTCTAGCCATTTTGATGAAATTTGGCTAAAGACCAAAGGCTACAGTCTTTGGTCATTGGCCCAACTTTTGAGCAACTTTAAAACTTCATTAAAAATTCAAATTTGAATGGAATCAGCTCAAAGTTAATATACAATTATAAGAACATGTATATGTATCAAAAAATAATAAAATTAGAAAATTCTCTCCTAACCATTTTCGATGAAATTTGGCCATCAACCAAAGGCTATTTTTGAGCAACTTTAATCCAATCAAATTTGAATTTTTTTATGAATTTAAAGTTTAAATTCAAATTTGATATCAGCTCATGTACATTATGCATGAGAAAAAAATTAAATTAAAAATTCTCTCATTGTAATTTTATTATTGAGCAACTTGACAATCCATGCACAGACAAGAAGCCGCATGCACTATGCCACAGTGGGGAACCCTACTATACTTCAATCGCTTCATTTTTTTAAATCCAGGTTCTCCAAAATTACCCATCACACAACCAAGAGTCTCGAAAAATTTCGTTATACCCACCTTAGCCAATCCAGTGTAAAAACCATCTAAAGTATAGCCGAGCCAGCCATTATTCCCCTCGTCAGTGTCAGCAAGAGACTCATCCACCGACTCATCCACAGTGGTTTCATCATCAAGAGGTGGGGTACAGTCTTTGGATTTAATAGAGACTTCCTCAGCAGAGATTTCACTATCTTTAGGTGTAGCATCGTCAGAAATATTGTTTTCCTTCTTGGCCTCTTTTTCTAATTTCTTCCTTGCCTTTTGTAAGTGACGAGAAGCTTCAGCGACTCTCTGCTTTCGTCGCTTTGATTTCGGCATTTTGAATTTTAAATTAAGTACACAGTCACAATAGCGGGTGCGGTTTGGAGAAGAAAGTAGATCAAATGCGCTTTATTTAGAAAGAAGTGTCATCCCTTGGTGTGAACTCTCATGATGAACTCAGTGGACAACTTCTTCAACAACACGACAACTCAGTTTTACCTACTGCTAACAGGGACTTCTTCTTTACTATCTGGTATGCTGATGTTTCTGGAGTGGCTACACTTTACAATATACGGATTGTCCATCATTGAACGACTAGCTGCTTTTGGAAAGGCTTTCCTGCCATCTTTCCTGGTCCTAAAGAAAGAAAACTCAGCATCTAAACAGAAGAAGCTTGCTGATGCTAAACCTATTAGAAACTCAATGGCTTTATTCCGTGGTGCCGAACTGTATCGTTATCAATTAGAAACCAACCGTAATGTCATCACTGACTATGATTTTGATCTAAGCACATCTTACTGTCTCTCAATATTCACTCACGAAGGAATCGGATTTGATGATGATCCTGCCGATGTACTCATGATAAGTGCATGGAAGGAGAAAGATCGTCAGGAGCGTGTAGCCATTGCTCATAGTGCTCTGGAAATGAATCCAAATTGTGTCCCTGCATTAATACTCCTCGCCGAAGAAGAGGCTCAAAGCATGCTTGATGTTGAAGACCTTCTGAAACAAGCTCTGAAATCGGCAGAGGCTAATCATAAAGATTCATCAATTTTATGTCACAGTGATCCTGTCTATAAACCTGTCCATGAGCGTAATGCTAACGTGTGTGCATACTGTAGGTTTAGGCTAGCCGTATGTGCGAGACGTTTAGGAAAGGTTAAAGAAGCCATTAAACTCTACCGGGACCTTTTGAAAGACTCGCGTGCTCTGTTTTTGGTTAACATTTACGAGAACCTAACAGAATGTCTCTTGGAATCTCAAAGCTATTGTGAACTCAATACCTTTTTGTCAAAGCACGAGGAATCACTGTTGCACAAGTCTACCTCCCTGAGCTATACTGTTGCCCTATTGAAGGCTAAAGCTCTTGGAGAAAAGTTGTCTATTGATCCTCGACGTGGCCCAACGCCACCCGAACTTGCAGTCTATGATGCTATTTATCGTGCAGTTGAACTAAACCCTCATGTCCCTCGGTATCTTTTAGAACTAAAACCTTTGATCCCTCCCTCCGAGCATATCGTCAAGAGAGGTGACAGCGAAGCTATAGGATATGCTTTCCATCACCTTAGTCACTGGAAGAGAATTGATGGGTCTTTGGCACTGTTGGCATCGTCTTGGGAAGCAACGTTTCAAAGGATTCCATTTCCCTTGGAACGAGGCAACCATTTCCCTCCTTATCCCTCTAATGTTGAGATTGTTGATCGGGAGCTATTACCACAGCATCACGAAGTTTCGGTTTTCCCGCAGCGTGATGCTCCCTTTTTCATGGTCTTCACAGGTGTGCTGTGTTTCAGTTTTATGAGTCTCACTGTTATTGCTTATCATTTCCCCCAAGCGATGACACAGTATGCCAAAACTGTTACAACTATTTTTCTTACACTTCTTCAAAAACTCCTTCCCGAAGGGATCCTAGGTCTTAATTGAAAATGGTCAGGACTTTCAGACGAAAATAATTTTTTTTGTTTTTATTTTAAAATAAAATTATATAATCAACTAGATCTACATGTAGTGGTTTGCCCACCTCCCGATCTGGAAAATCCTCGAAGAACGGAAGTACCTCAGTGCTGTTTTGAGCTACTGGCTTGAGATTAGTTTTGAGGTCTATTATGTCTGCTGAAAAACGTTCTGTAGTAGCAACTACCCACCGCGTAGTGTACAAAGTTGTGTTAACTGGAGGTGAGTGATCAGAAAATGAGAAAAGTTGTTCCACTTATTTGTGTGGTTGATAAAGATCAGTATCAGATTTAACTGGAAATAATTATGATTATGCTTTAGTAAGCCTCCACCCAGCCCTTTCTTTGTAGTAAAATAGTGTTACTGTAAAATTATAATATTTTGCAGTTTTTGTGGATAGATCTAGTAGACTAGATCTCTACTCAAAAATTTGTGGCAATAAGCACATGCATGTGGGAAGGTGTCAGGTGTGGCCATTGAAAATGCAGGTGTGGCCATTGAAAATGCTTTTTCCCATCTATAAATTCACAAATACCTACCTAGCTTTGTAGAGAAAGTAATTTTAAACCTATAATCATGGAATCACACCTTGTATATAATGACACTGTAATTACATCTACATAATAGGACCGTGTGCTGGTAAGACTACTGCTTTGGCAAGATTTAGAACATTCTTTGAAAACCTGGGGTGGAAGGTAAATTTATACATAATCAACTAAAGAATCAATTTTTTGATAGGTTTACTGTGTTCCAGAAGCAGCAACAATTTTATTGAGGTAATAGAACAGATTGCAAATTAATTTTATATTAAACGGCAATGTGACTTGTGGCTTACCTTATTATCACCATCATACCTGTCACTAAACTCATTATAATGACAGTGTTAAATGCAATTAGTTATTTATCACCAAGTATTGTCCATTGACCATTTTAGCGGAGGCGTCAAGTTTTCTAATTTGAGTCAAGAGCAATGTGATGTCTTTCAAGAGAATGTACTGCTAACGATTTTGCAACTTGAAAGAACTTACACTGATCTGGCTAGTAGAGACAGTAAAAACTGCTTAGTTGTATGTGATAGAGGAACAATGGATGCTTCAGCATGTAACTAATATTAAAATTATTTTTTTTGTTACAGCTATCTTGTAATTTTTAGTTTGTTCGGAGAAAGTTTGGTCAGATATATTAGGAAATAATAGTCTTGACGTTTTTACATTACGAGATGGACGATACGACCAAATCGTTCACTTGGTAGTAGCCCACATTGTTTATGACGAATGCTTTTATTGTCAAATTGTAGGAAACTGCTGCAAAAGGTGCTGAAAAATTTTACCAGTTGACAAATAATGCATCCAGAAGTGAAGGGCTGGAATTAGCCAGGAAACTTGATACGCAAGCAGCTCAAGTGAGTGAGGGGAGACTCAAATCTTAAAAAGTGCTTTACTTTTCATTTGGTGTGTCTGCAAAACAGTTTTGTGGATGCAATAGTTTTAGTTAAGTGCCATTGACTGCATTACAGCTGGATTTGAATGCAAAGATGGTGTGTGTGTGTGTGTGTGTGTGTGTGTGTGTGTGTGTGTGTGTGTGTGTGTGTGGTGTAAATGACAGTGTTTTTTTGAAAATATTGAGTTGTTACATGTAGTGTACTGATTACTGAATCATAAATACAGACACAAGAAAGATGCTTTCAATCTACCTCAGCACATAGGCGGCTGCAGGCCTAGGCATTGGGGGTCATTGCCTAGGTTAAAAATTAGACCGGAAGTAGAAACAATGCTATTTAACCCTTTTACCACACCCCTTTAATTAGAAATGCCTAGGCTGAGTTGGACTTCTGCAGCCGCCAAAGCCTCAGCAGCCGCTTTACATTACATAATCATAAGCACATGTATGCACTGTACACATGTATGCCAATCAGTGTGCTGTCTAGATTGCTTAGTAGAAAAACCTGATCCATAGTATTTTTCTTTTGATACATATACATCTTCTGATGTTGTATAAATAGTTTGAGCTCATTTTGATCAAAATTAGATTTTTCATGAATTTTTAAATTTGCTCAAAAATCAGGCCCAAAATCGTGTACTATAGTACACAATCTCTGGCCGAATTTTGCCAAAAAGCTAGGGGAAAATTTTCCATCTTTATAATTTTTTTCTGATACATATACATGTTCTGATGTTGTATATCAAGTTTGACCTGATTACGGTTAGAATTGAATTTTTTACGAATTTTTAAAGTTACTGCAAAACACATGCACTATAATAATGCAGTGCTTGTAAGCTCATAATGCTGTTTAGCTCACTTAGCACACTTTGTGCTGGAAACCCTGGTGACAATATACTACCAGTTAAACTGCATTATTTTGAATTAAATGTACTTCAACATAGCATAATTATGATTCTATTTTTACAAAAAAATGTCAATTGAATTAGTAATTGTAATTGAGGTTTTGTTATTGGCTCTATCTCTGCATGTACCGTATAGCAGGAAATTTTGGTTAAATTTAGTGAAATTGATGTTTTGATAGCCATTTTTAAGATAAAAATCCGCCATATTCTAAGCATTATTTGGATGCTCTATGGCACATGGCCACAAATAGTTCACCAATCACAATTTGCCTATATTTAGTCTCCTACCATATGGTATTTTGTTGTCTTAATAAGTTTGTCACAGAACTTTTGTTACTTACTTGCTATTCTTATACCTCCCTGCTATTTTAGGCTTGGGTTGGTCATCCTTACTGTGATGTTATTGACAACAGCTCTGATTTTGAAGGCAAAATGTGTCGTGCTATTGAAGCTGTTTGCAAAAGGCTCGGCAAAAGACTTGGAGTAGATGTTGATGACCGTCTAAAGGCATTGAGTAAAAAGAGGAAGTTTCATGTTAAAAATCTTCCTCCTACTGAGGTTATTTCTATTCTTAAAGTTTTGGTTTTTTTACATTTTTTTGTATCAGGTGTTTTCTTGTCATTATCAAGATTTTGATGTGCAGCATGACTATCTTAGTAATAATAGCAGAGATTCACAACTTCGAGTGAGAAAAAGAGGACAAAAAGGTGAAGTACTGTACTCAATTTCTGTTTAGACTCCTTCACTACATACATGTAGGTAGCAGTTTTACGTATACCTTAACCGAAAGAAGAATTTGTGATGGAGAAACAATAGAGTTATTGAAGCATTTATCAAGCACAGAATATGCTGTTAGAAACTCTGTTGAATTTAATTAATTTTTACAATTATGCAGACATTGCTGAAGCAAAGAGATCCTGATCATTATTCTATCCATAAGACAAGACGCTGTTTTCACTGGAGTGGGCACTACTTCCAGCTTGATATTTTTAAGGAACCATTTTCACCTAGGTCTATATAAATTTTGTTGCTGCAAGGCATTATGCAATGTTTATGTACAGGTGCAATGAACTTATCTTGCTTGAAACGTACACTACCAAATGTGGTACAGATCTTGAATTACCATCTTTTCTGGATTTCAATAGTGAAGTTACTAATGATGAAAACTACTCAATGTTTAATTTGTCCAAAAAGTGACTATTTAACAAAGAAATGGCATAAAACATTGTTTTTGTGCATTGTTTTGATATTACTGTTATTATTTTTAATATTATATTTCTGTGATGCTGGTATCTTCTATTTCATCATCGTCTAGTGTTTCCGGAAACCCTACAAAGTTTTCATTGGTTATGACTGTATCATTAGGTGAAAATTCAGTTTTAATTGCAAAGCTAAAATGGGAAAGAAAAAATGTAGATCTAATGAAGATTTACAGGCAGATCACTGAAAAATGGAGATAACATAGTTATGGTCTACAAGCATGGTATCTTTCTGAATACAACTATGCATAATGACTACCTTTCTTTGCTTTCCTTGCTTCTACTGTCACTGGTAGTGCTTGATTGATCCTATTATGTAAAAATAAGAATGAATTAACTGATACTTAAATCTCAAGGCTCTACATACGGAATGAAATGCTGGATTTCCATAAGCAACAGCATCTAGTTTGAACGGACTTCTATATATCAATTTGCACAAATTATTAAAGATCTAATTTATTATAAAACTTACTGTTTAACTTCTGCTCCAGCATTTGTCGTTTTGACAATACGCAACTGCTTCTTACTATGTCTGCATAATCAATTATTAAATGATTCAGTGGGCTACAGACTTACGGTTTTGCACTTGTGGGAGTAACTTGAGTATATTCTTTGTGTGCTGGGCGCCTTGGTTTTTCTGGTTCGGCATTTTTTGAAATAGGACAAACACCACGTCCTTTCCTTTTCCTACAAAGATAGCTACTCAATCAAAATCTATCATTATGATAAGTTACTGACTTGTAACAAAAACAAACAACGAGAGTAAGTATAGTGACAAATAGAATGAAATAGAAAGCACCAATGGTGGAAATAATGTACACTGCTTGGTTAACTGTAAGGTTCGACTCTGTAATGAAAAGAATTTGATGAATTAGAGTTACCATGGCTGCGGCGACCTCTCAGGCTCAGCTAAGCTGATTGGAACTCACGAGCTTTTGTTGATCCACAACAGAGAAAGATACAGACAGCCACAAAGACAAAGCTCCTCATCTTGGTGCAGCTATTGAGCCAACTGAGTTTGGCTCAGTAGGAGATAAAGCGGGCCGCTCTGCCACTGAGAAAGAAAGGAGACTGAGCGGAAAATTGTGATTTCTGTACCGGCACAGAAAGGAAAGTAGTCACACTTCCTTGTCGCTTCAATTATCACACTGACAGTAAGCTCGCTCTGCAAAGCAAGCGGAGAAGACAGCAAGTTTGTTTTGATTGGAAATTAAGGCGTGCCAGGATACACAATTAATTGAGGGATCCGCCTTTTTAAATGGCCGACCACGTGGAAGAGCTGAGGAAATTCCTTTCGGACACATCTCGCCCTGATCTCCAATCAGTTGCAGTAGATATCATTCTAGGATTGTCTGGAACGCCTGAAGGTTGCGATGTGATTATGAAGGAAGATGGCATTGCGTACCATATTGTGAGACATGCTACTGAATTAGATCTCCCATCATCACTTAAAGCTTCACAAGTATTAGTAAATGTGTCTGCTATTGAAAACTGGGTAGAGAAACTTCTGACTACACATGATACTTTAATGCAAAAATTGCTACAAGTACTATTAAGACCAAAGTCTATTACTAAAGAGAATGTGTGTATGACTCTTTCAAACATAACTCGTCTTGAAAAAGGATCAAGTCTGTTTGGTAATTATTTGTTTTCCTATCCTAGTACAATGTCTCTCGATATTCTGGTTGATCTATTTGATAAAGATACATCGGAATCACTAGATTACTTAGCTGAAGTGTTCTCGAACGTTACCCAATTGCTATCTTTTCGACAGTGGTTTCTAAGTAAACCAGGATATGATTCTCTCCTACGTCTATTGCCCTACACTCGGTATATGAAATCTGTAATTCGTCGGAGCGGTATCGTCGGATTGCTAAGAAATCTCTGTTTTGAAATAGGTGACTGCCAAAAATAACACTCGTGCATTAGTGTTTGTTTCATTTACGTGTAGATCATCACAAATGTTTGCTTGGTGAAGAAAGTGACTTTTTGTGTGCCCTCTTGCTTCCACTGGCTGGCCCAGAGTCTTTTACTGACGAGGAAAATGATCAGCTGCCATTAGATTGCCAGTATCTTCCGGATGATAAAGAAAGAGAAGATGTCCCTGATTTGAGAAAAAAGCTACTTGAGTCATTACTGAAAGTAAGTTGTAATATTATGATCTTAATTTCTTCCTTAAGCTCATTTTTGTGAACTAATATCTTAGCATTTTAAAAAGATTAAAAGATCCTTTACTGAGATTACTAAAATTAGCTTACTATGTGTATAATACAAGTAGAAGTGTGTCATATCTAATGTAAGAGTTACCTTAGAGTGACTTTTAATTGCGGGTACTAAATTTTGCGATTTTAGCACAAGGTAGATTTGCTGGTATTAAAAATTGCGATTAAGTAATTATTACTAATAGTTATATGGCATCATGATGTCATAATTAATAATTGCGCGTATTAATAATTGCGATTTTTAACCCAAACGCAAAATTCGCAATTAATAGTACCCGCATTTAAAAGTAACCTTAAGGTACCATATAGCGGGAAATTTTGAAGGAAGTAAAATTTGGCGGATTTTAATTTGGTGAATTTGTGGCCATGTGCCATTGAGCATGCGTATAATTGCTGAAAATGGCAGATTTTAATTTTATCAAAATGCCAAATTTAATTCCATGCAAAATTTCCCACTATGCAGAATCAACTCTCTCCTCAAGTGTACTTTTAGAGGCATTCCAGTCATAACATACTGTAGTGTAAATTAGCTCTAAACATACAATAATTATGTTGTATTTTGTTCTTTCTACAGCTTTGCGTAACACCATACGGTCGTCATTATCTAAGACGTCACGGAGTCTACTTCATATTACGAGAGCTACACAAATGGGAACCAGTTCCGAGTATTAAAGAGGACTGTGAAAGTGTCGTTTCTATTCTTATCTCTGATGAACCGCAAAAAGAACTAACACTCCAGTAACAGCTTTAATATTATTAACTTAACAAATTTTAGTTTTAGTTCACACATTATAATTATTTTTTATTTTATTATTGTCATAAACGACAGGAAGAAACTGCATGATAATACAGACAAAAAAAGAGAGAACAAAGAGAGAATGAGTGATGATTGTCACCTAAGAATTGTCCACCTAAAAGTACTACTACACATTAGTAGGATTCTCATCAGCTGTTCCAGCAGCTTGCAAAGCTATCCTCTCCAACGTGGCAGTGAGATCAAGAACACACACAGACGGAATGAGAATACCTAACGAATAAATTTAGAGTCGAGTACCGTATACGCCACATATTTCGCAGGGATTAAATTTCGTGTTTTGGAAAAATATGTGACATTAAAATCTGCAAAATAGCATGTTGATTGTATAGTAGGTGCGGTAATTACACTGTAAATTAAATCGCAAAAAATTTTATTCGCAAATACAAAAATGCAGCCAAATCGCAAAAAATTTTATTTCTGAGAAATATATGACGTATACGGTATTTTAAATACAGTCCCCATTTTCTTATACCTATTATTTTCTTTTGGGAAGTATGTACTCTAACAATCTGCATCTTGTGAGCATGCGTTGGATGTCTTAGGAACACGTTCTCTAGATGGATCCAGATTCCAAGTAGTGATCCCGCGAGAACGTAATAGGTTCTTCTTCTCATTCCTACCTCACAAGGATGGGTAGGGGTTGAGGAACGGCATTTCCCTTGCCTACGATACAATGATATGTTAAGTATTAAGATACAAGTAGTTTTGGTATTAATTAAGACAGGAATGTATTTGTATAGCAAGGTTAATATGGTGTAGGTATTATTGTGTCACAGATAATTTATAAGTTAATGTAGGTAGTGGAATTAAGCTGTCATGATCAATCAAAACATATTATTTTTATTTGATAATTTACCAGTAAGAGTGACTGCAAGAAGTTAGTGTACTCTCATACTGAAGTGTCCACCATTTCATGGCATCTTCCGGATCACACTAAAAATATAGCAGCAATTATTACTCGTATAAATTACTCTTATAAATAATGTCATCAAAAATGTTGGACAAAATAAGTACAGAGATTAATACATGCAATTATTATAATAGCAGAAAAGAAACAAAATTTTTCAAATTGTAAACGTTAATTTGATTATAGTCCACTCATGAAGTATTTGCACATGTGTTGTTTACTAGAATCCAAATGGTAAAACCAAATGGTCTTATATGTGTGTGATTAAAATAATGACAAAATAAACACAGCTAGTAAAATAGGCACATATAAGTACATGTGTTACATACACATCATTATAATTATAACACAAAAATAAGTTGATATAACATACCCGTTTATACTTCTTTAAAACAGACACCAGTGTCTCACAACGTGACTGGACTCCAGTGTTTGGCCTGTGGACCAGGTATAGGTCACTTCCTTCTTTAGACACTTTGAGCATTACTGCCACATTCTTCTCATTGCGAGGCTAATAATATCAATTATGTCGGTAATGTCATATAATTAGTATAGTATGAAATCATTTACTTTAGTAGACAAATAGAATCCTTCATTAGGATATTGGTCTAATTGAAGTTTGGACTGGGCATCTTCAAAAGACATCCCTCTTTCAACATGTATCTATATATAATCAAACACACAAAAATCTTATTTAAAATACATGTACATGTACATGTGCATACAATATACATGTACTACTATGCGAGTATAACTAAAGATTAATGATTAAGGAACACTCTATAGTTGCTAAATGCTTCAGAATCTTGCTTCACATAAACTGTTGATAAGAGCAAATTGCATGTACAATTTGTACATGATATTCTATACTATAATCAAACTACACTATAATATCTGTATAGTAAACATAAGACTTCAAAATTTAATTATTATTATATTTCAAGTGACTCTATAGTGGTATCAAATCTCTCTTGAAGTACATGTACATGTATTGCTTCCATCTTAAGAGTGGCAACACTGTATTACATTCCACATCACTACAAACAAAACATGCACTATACAGCCAAATAATCTACAAACAGTCAACGGCATTAGCTGCATTGCTAATCAAGTATGACTCAATTACTATGTTCTCTTTCAACGAAATCATACCAACATAACCATGGGGTGAGCTCACTTTATGAAGTTGTGTTGTAGCTGTGCCGAAAGCTGCATCTCCAACAAACTCTTTACTTTCTACCAAATCGACATGCTCTCCCGAGGCACCAAAATCGAGTATGCCTCCGTCCCATTTCCCGGCCTTCTTAGCTCGTTTAATCACTTCCCCCAGTGTGTCAGTGAAATAACAGAAGACAAGGTTCTGGAGCTTTACTGGGAGTCCAAGGAGACGGTTAAGAAACCTGGTCATGTTCAAGGATTCCTTGTCAACAGATTTATTAGACAGGAGCTCTACATCGACCATAGCCTCATGAGACTCTAAATAATAATAATTATAATGAGAGTATAATTATAATAATTATAATAATATACTAACTATCAAAAAAGTCTTGATTATAATCAGGAGAAGATACTATTGGTTTATCTATACCAACTATTGACCTCAGACATAACTCCAAAGCCTGACGACCATACTATAAAGACAAAAGGCCAAACAGATAAATGCACATAGTACTATTTACACGTACATGTATATTGTGTACATGCACATGTATACAGCGAAAATGCCATCAAATGTTGCATGAACAATTAAAGCTCATTCATAAGAGCATTCTTGTTCTGTGCAAACGCATTGCCATAGCTTCAAAGAATATTACAAGTTCACAACTTCAAATTGTAATTCTTTAAAACTTACGAAACATTATAATACATATCACATTACTTTAAGCTTTCTACTTGGAGGTTTGGGTTGCCGTGCTTTTGTGTGCAAAAATGTACAACACAGAAAAGCATCACACTTCACACTATGCATACATGTACAGTACATGTACATGTACATGTATTTGTAAATCTAAACAATGTAGATAATTAAGATATTATACATGTAGGACTAAGTATACTATACATGTAAGTTCATATTTAGAAAAAATACTAAATGCACTTCCATATTTGGCCATTCATTTCTGTAACATTCACAGATATAATTATTCAAGAAATATTGTTCACATTTCATCACCATTGCAACCATAATTATGCATTATCTCAAATGTAGCAACCTGATTTGCTACAATTGGATGTATTATCATACACAACAGCTCACTAATGCAATACAAATTACATTGAACATAGAAATTCAGAAAAATCTGAGATTATTTCACATACATAATGAACAGCCATACTTCGCATACCAAGTAATGTTGGCCAAAAATGTTACAACTCTTCTTTACTACAATTACAATCAGTAAACAAACTAATGCCAAACCTGGCTACAGTCATTATGCTAGTTGGTTCCTTTCCTACTTTATACACCTTAGTTGGCAATATTACACCATTATGACATCACTACATGTAAATGTACATACGACATGTATATTTAAAGTAGTTACTGTATAGCAGTTTTTTTCGAGGATAACAAATTTCACAAATTTCGAGTATTTTTTTTAAATTCGCAAAATTAAATTCTTTGAAAATCAATTTAATATGGTACAAGATGGCAGAATACAGTATACTAACCTTTGTGTCAATGTTGTATCGGCTGAGATCTCTTGATTCAGTGGCCCTCCTGTCCCCGTGGGTCAATGCTCCCAAACACTCCAGCCTCTTAGCTACTATACTAGCAAACCTGTGCTCTCCTGATAGTGTGGATATCAGGAAAACATACTCCGGGGAAGTGACTTGATTAGAGCGATGCGTGCGCCCTAAAAAATAAAAAAAAAAATTATACATTGACGTATTAGTTGATAGTGCTAATGCTAATTTAAAGGCCTTTTCACACTAGCAGCTGAATTATGTATCATTTTGTGTTCTTGTTGCCATTGGTTTACATTGATCGAAGCGCATCACTTCACATCAATCCACCTCTGGAGGAGAAGTGAGACTGATGCCCATTGATGCGCATCAATTTGAAACCACACTAGTGTGAACACGATTAATGTGCATTACTTTTGCCAGTGTGAAAAGGTCTTATAATAATTTATAAAGCATGTGCTGTTGTGCTCACGTATTACATGCATTAATTTATAAAGCAGTGATTGCCATTAAAGGCTATCAAACTCAATATAGGAACAAGGAAGGATATATTATTAATACAGTCATAACAAGAGTGACTGAACTTACCAAACTGTTGAATGGCTTTGTCAGCACTCCATGGCAATTCAAGTGTTATGTGAACTCTTCTCTTTTGATTCTAAATGAGGACCATACATGTACTTAACACCAAAATTAACAAAAAATAAGTAAAGTACAGTGATCTCCAGCATTACCTGCGTTCCACACTGGTGCTATAGCTACACTAGTGTACCACAAAACGAGATAAGTACGTGATGTACATGATAAATACACAATACAGGCGCTTTTAGTGCAGCTTGGATGCCTAGACAAGCTGCACCTGTGTCATTTACGATAAGTAAACTTATAGCTGAGGCCGAGGGTACATGCACACACAGTTGGTCATAGGCAAATGCAGGGTCTAAATACCCTGTACTGTTATAGTACAGGGTCACAGGTCATATTTCATCAAAAATAGTTCAGAGAGAATTCTCTATTTTTACAATTTTTTCTGATACATATACATGGCCTTATGCTATGTATCAACTTTGAGCTGATTCCGATCAAATTTGGATTTTTTATGAATTTTTAAAGTTGCTCAAAAATCAGGCCAAAAACCTAATGCTATAGCCTTTGGTCACAAGCTAAATTCATCAAAAATGGCTACAAATAAATTCTCCATTTTTATAATTTTTTCCAATACATATACATGTCCTCATGTTGTGTATCAACTTTGAGCTGATTCCAATCAAATTTGGATTTTTTATGAATTTTTAAAGTTGCTCCAAATACCATGTACTGTATTGTAATGCTTGTCAGCTCATGAAGCTCATGCTATTCTGGGCAAATTGTTAATGTGAAGGTCAAATGTTATCATGTAACATACATGTGTATGTACATGTACATGCAAACATACTTTGGCTCTTCTTCTATGCTGTGTATTAACTTTGAGCTGATTCCAATCAAAATTGGATTTTTTATGGATTTTTAAATTGCTCAAAATGCCATTGCAGTGCTTGTCAGCTCATGAAGCTCACTTACATGTACATGTAGCAAGTTTTACAGGAACTCTGGGCAAGTGCATTGTTAATGTGAAAATGTACATGTAGTATCACATGTAGTATTACATGTAGATGCACTACATGTATACTGGCTGGTGCATACTTTGGCCCTTCTATCAGCTTGCAATGAAATCCCTGAACTAGCAGCTTCAGATATAATAGCAATTTCTTTCTCCCCATCCATAAACCGTGTCTTCTCAGTGATGTTAAGCATCTCAATGGATACATCAGGCTCACTCCTCAACTGATACCGAACTGATCCGTCAGACATTTGAACCACACGACCTCTTCGTCCAGTCATCTATCATGTAAAACATAATGTAAAAATTGTATATTTAAATGTACTGTATAGTGCAAAATTTTCGAGGGCTGTAAATTTCGCGAATTTGCCTAAAAATCTATTCCGCAGATTTAATTTTCGCAAATTTATACCACCTGCCATCTTGTGCCTTAATAATTTGATTTTCGTGGAAGTAATTTTCGTGAGTCTTCAAAAAATCACAATATTTACAGCCCTCAAAAAAATTTGTGCTATACGGTATATTGTACATGTACATTTATGAGCACAATACGTAAATATTTTGTTCATACAAAGACAAAAAAGACTTCTATTCTAAAAATTTAAAAACAGAGGTGGTGTGCCATTATTCAATAGACTACTGACTGTCTAAGTTTCATATGTGATTATAACTGTGATTGTGCCAATTATCAAGTTTGTGGTTATGTAATGTATTTTATATTATTGATTTTGGCAAGGAAGTGAACAATATTTATATAATTACTGAGCCTTAAAACTAATCTTAATCCTTTAGGCCTTCATAAAATGTAATGATGATATAACAGTAGAAGAATTGTTTGAAGGTACATCTAAATCTGCAGAGGGATTTGGGGATTTTTTTAAACTCTAATATCTATGATTTGGGGCTGAGTGGATTTTTAAAAAGCTGTAATTGATAAAATGAGCATTAGCATTCTTGTGCAAGATAGTAAGGAGTTGTATTTATATTAATATTATAAAATGTTGGAGTCAGTGCCTACTTCAGAGACTTTGCTTGGTCCCCCCAGTCCATCTATTAGCTCATCCAAACTGTTGCTGGGTAGCAATGGTGCTAGTTCATTCAATTTTCGTAGCAATTCTTCTTTCATATCACGAACGCTCTGAACACCACACTGACCTATCATGCAGAAAAAGGCAACAAAAAAATTTAATCTTAAATTTAAAAATGAAACTTTAAGAATTGGCAGTCTTGATTATAACAATTACTCATAAAATACAAAGATAGGACAAATTAATTCCATACTTGAAACTGTGGGTCCAAGTTCGTCACTTTTTGACTGCTTCTCAACAGGCACTGATGGTCTATTAGTAAAAAAAAATTCGAACATTTGCAAATTTTTACTACAACTGATGAAGGCATTTTGGTTGAAACAATTTGTTACATTTAAAAATAATAATTTTGTATTATACACTCAATACAAACAAGATGTAAGGCACATGTACATATACTGTGCTTATACAAAACTAATAAAAAAACAAACTTGTCTTTCTTTTCATTTTCCTCCAGTACACGCTCAAACTGAAGAGTCTTATAATTGAACTTTAGGTCGCCGTGTTTGCCCGGGGACCAAGGGTTGCCAGGAGGTTTAATGGAGTAGTTCCCACGGGGAAATCCATCCTTCCTCACTCTTCTTTGTGGAGATAGCTTGGCTTTCTTTGACTTACGTTTACTCATTCGTAACCAGTTAGGTTCTACAACAGCAAAAAAACCAATTTTACTCCAAAAAATGGACAATACATGTACAGTACATGTATTATAGGGGAAAAAAACATGCATGTGTATTAGCCGCAGAAATTATATTTTCATTATTCTTATCAAAAATATGTATTACTGTACATTTGTTCACAATTATTAATGTACATGCATGTACATGTGTTTCAATACAATTAAACAGAATTATTAAAGCATGTTTCTAAAGCAGTATAATATTTCCACCCACCACAATAGCTAACAGAAATAGAGGAATTCATTGTCATACAGAGTGCACGCAATTCTAAATTATCTGACAGTAATAAAAAGTTTCAAAATACAAGTACATGTACATGTACTAAAATGTAAGCTTTCTAGAAATTAAGAAAAAATTATAGTGTACCTTTAGGGCCAAGGAAACCGAGGAGGCCAGCCTTATTGTCAGTGTCTTTCTGACTAGTGTCACTGTCAGTCTCAGTATCATTCTTTGGCTTGGAGTCTTGCTCCATCATCTCATCTTCTTCTTCTGAGGACTCAACTGCTGAGTCACTGTTCTCCCACTCACTGGAACTATCATCATCACCTTCATTATTAACAACAGCATAATCTACTAATACAATTGAGAATAAAAGTATCATTTGATATTAAGACAATTATTATGTTAAAGAAAATATACTATCTTGCTATTCTTGGGGCTACATGTAATTATAGATGAAATCTAGGCCCTACAGAGTATACATGTGCTTAAACAGGAATCTCCTGACTTTAAAAATACCGTACAGAAGGAAATTTTGGAGGGGCTAAATTTTAGCGAATTGCTAAATTTTGGTGATTGGTGAATTTTAACTTGGCAAATTTGTAGCCATGTGCCATTGAGCATGCGCATAATGGCTCAAAATGGCAAATTTTTATTTTGCGAATGGCTATCAAAACACCAAATTCGCCAAATTTAACTACCTCCAAAATTTCCTTCCATACGGTAGTTATTTAGTCAATCAATTCAACCACATCTGTTGCAAGAAGGAATACTTGACAATAAAATGTTGCAAAGTAGCAAGAGGTCACTATAACACTGCAAGTACAAGTATGTACACATACATGTAGTTAGTACACAAAAATAAACTTAGTAAAGCTAAACTAAAACTTAATTTACTAAAACTTTAAAATGACTTAGATAGTAAACTTCACTAGTATTGCTACATTCATTGTGAGTTGTATTATGCTTGCATCTTCTACACAATGTACATTGTACATGTTCATTTAAGTTCCACAGATTAGTATTAAGCTAAGTACAGGAGCTTAAAATATTTCTATACACTGTACATTAGCTTCTCTTAATAAAATTAACATTGTAAGAGTCTGAGTTACATTAAGAGGATCAGTACCTCGTTTCCTTTTCCTGCAGTTACGAGGAAGAGTGGAATCATTCTCAAAGACAGACCAATCATTGCCATCAGTTGGTGTTGGGAAGTGTCTTTTGATGAGTGACTCCAGCACACCTCTACAATGAGAGACAAACCACACAATGTACATTGTACATATAGCATTTAATGAAGCAATGATTTCCCATTTTTATAACTCTTTGTGCAGAAAATTTAAGCTGATTTTGATGAAAATTGAATTCTTAAAGTTGCTCAAAAATTGGGCCAATAACCAAAGGCTATAGCCTTTGGTCTTAGGCCAATTTTCGTCAAAAATGGCTAAGAGAGAATTCTAGATTTTAATAATTTTTTCTGATACATATACATGTTCTTATGCCGTGTATGAACTTTGAGATGATTCCAAAAAATTTGGATTTTTTTATAAATTTTTAAAGTTGCTCAAAAATTGAGCCAATGACCAAAGGCTATAGCCTTTGGTCATAAGCCAAATTTTGTCAAAAATGGCTAGGAGAGAATTCTATATTTTAATATTTTTTTCTGATACATATACATGTCCTTATGTTGCATATCAAGTTTGAGCTGATTCTGATCAAATTTAGATTTTTTATGAATTTTTAAAGTTGCTCAAAAATTGAGCCAACGACCAAAGGCTATAATAGCCTTTGGTCATAAGCCAAATTTTGTCAAAAATGGCTAGGAGAGAATTCTCCATTTTAATAATTTTTTCCGATACATATACATGTCCTTATGTTGTGTATCAAGTTTGAGCTGATTCCGATCAAATTTAGATTTTTTATGAATTTTTAAAGTTGCTTAAAATGCCATGTACTGTATTGTAGTGCTTGTCAGCTCATGAAGCTCATACTGTTTAGCTCACTTAGCATGCTTTGTGAGAAACACTGACATTGTACATGTATATATTAACATCAGCCATTCAATTTAATTACTAATTATAAATGTGAAAACTAACTTTGCAGTTGATACAAAGCCATCCAATTCACCGTGAGACTGTCCTAACTGTTCTAAAGTTCTTGCTTCACCAGTTGACTGTAGACCAATCACCACACACTACATAGTGCACTTTAAAAATATATTTAAAATAAGGATTAAGAACCTTTCCATCTTTTAATGACTGCATAGCTAAATCAATAACACTGGGGACTTTAGCAGCTATACATAAGTACTTGAAAAATCTCTGATAATAAAAAATAAAAACATTGTAAATCAAGTGATGGTAATTTTATATACATGTAGTAAGTGTAATAGGACATACTAAATTTAGAATTGCTAATAATCATTTCCTTTAATATATTGAAATAAATATAGGCACCATATGAATATATCCATTATTTAAACTTTTCATTCTGTATTTTATAACCATTTAATATAACCCAATTTAAGGTAACTATTATACACATCTTCTTTCATACATACTTGATGTGCAGCCCAAAATTGGCCCCACATTGTTTTCAAATTTCTGCCATCATAATCTAACAAATCCGCAGCATCTTTGAACATTTGCCTTGCTTCTACCCACTAATAAAACAAAAAGCAATTAACACAATTAATGATCATCATAAAATAATATACAAGTACTTACAAATGCTACAGCTTTGTCATACATGTCGATAAATTTTTTTGAAAGAGAGACCTCTTCGACTGAAAACGATACACCAGTAAAACTTAACTGTCTAGCAATATAGAGTCCCCGTAGCTACACATAAATATACACAAAACATGCAACACAAACTCAGCAATAATTATACTTTCATATCCATTGCAACAAGTTCCATAGCACCGACACCTCTACAAAGGAACAACTATTACTAAATAGCACTTTAATTTGGCAGAGTTTTAGTTTGGCAATTGGCTATCTGCAAGCGGAATCGCCAAAATTAAAACCGCCTATTATAATTTTACAGCAAAATCACCAAAATAAAGCACTATACTGTACTGTACACAAACCTCCTCTCAACTGATTTTATGAAGTCCTGGAAAGCTGGAAATTGCGTCCCTTCTCCCCAGATTCCTAGCCTTGACATGTAAGCCATATTCTTCGGCTCAGACGCTCCTACATGTACACATGTACATGTAAATTAAAATACCATATACCATGAAATTTATTCAACAAAAATTTTCGTGAATCTTGCAATTCTAAGATATCATCAAAATTAATTTTCACAAATAGCTAGTAAACTGCACCACGTGGCAATGGAGCTGCAGAATTTTGAAATTTTAATTTTGCAAAGGAGCAAAAATCGTGAAATTCGCAAAAAAATTTTGTCGCATAAATTTCATGGTACACGTATGGTACACACACATGTATATAAAGCTATTTTATTTCTGTAATTCATTATTTAAATGATTTATTATCTTGGACATTAAAAAAATAGCATCACACAGACTTAACCTGTTGCACTGCAATAGACAATCCTAGCCTTGGGTAGTCTCTTTTGAAGTTGCAATACAGTGATACCAGTTTTACTAGGTTTACTAGCACCGGAGGGAACCAAATTCTTTGCTTTATGGCATTCGTCAAACACGATCTAAAACATTTGTTAAGGAAAACATATCTGGAATATATCCATGTAATATTAATAAAATATGTATTGAAGGGATACAACTCCATCAAACTGAGGTCCCAGCCAATGTAATAGTTGAGTAAATCGTGTTCGATATTTCCCTCCACTTGTGCTTTCTCCTATAAGTGATGAATAGGTTGCAAATATAACTCCTTTCTTTACACGACCGTTTCGTTTTCCACTGATTTTTCCGTAGCAAAACTACAAAATTGTAAATTTTTATTTTACAGCTAAAAAGTAAACGATACCTTATTTAGAGCAAAAACACTAATTTTCTTTGCGCCAACATCATGCAAATCTCTACAAAAAGAAAAAAAGAAAAAAAAATGCCGAAACCCGGGATCGAACCAGGGACCTTTAGATCTTCAGTCTAACGCTCTCCCAACTGAGCTATTTCGGCTCTTATAGTAGTAGTTATTTTAATAGCAGAGAGGCTCAGTAGTATACACAATAGGAATTACAATAACGACCAAATACAAGCTCCACCAACACTACATACCTGATGGCATCATATTTCAGATCATTTGAGACACTCAGCCTGAAACATGAATACTATAAAGTCCAACAATAACAAGTAAATTAATACCATAGAGACTTCTTTCTTCCTTCTATATAATTCTGATAAATAATTCCAGCTACAGTTCGCCCTTTTCCAACTCCTGCACCATCACCTGATACAATCCAAACAATAAAATAACAAAAATAATAATACCACATAGCGGAAAACTTTCGTGGCCCAAAAATTTCGTGGATCTCTTCAAAAATCAATTTCGTGGCTTTAATTTTCGTGGTTTTCTACTTTCTGGATTGAATCGATTTTCGCAGATTTTATTTGTGTGAATTTTGAAAAAAATCCACAAAAACTTTGGGCCACAAAAATTTTTCGTTATACAGTATATAGGTGACTATACCAATGAGAAACCCTGCTCTGGATCCATCAGCAAGTGTATTCATGTGCTGTTGACAGGCGTATACAACTGCCTCCAACTGTAATGAGGAGAGTCGAACTTCTTCAATAACATTTTCAGGATATTTCAGATCATAATAGACTTGAGGTGGTTCAACACTAGCTAAAGAACTGAGGATACGGAACATGTACATGTAGATGCATTAATTAAATACATGGAACAGTACCTTGACTCAACTATAGGATCTGGATGCAAGTATCCTAGTTTTACTGTGGCAAATTAAAAAAGTTATATAAATATAAATAAATTAAAATCACCAAGAGAAAAATAAAGTAAGTCACACATAAAAAATAACAAAGGGAGAGTGGGATAAAATAAAAGGTCACTTGCTAGCTACCAGCATACCTCATTGCATATACAACAGATATTGCACACATAAATACAAGTATATGGTTACTTCATACATATACTTGAAGGTAGCAATAGTTACAATACATGTACATGTACTTCACTTGAATTAACAAACACTTCACATGCCCACCCAAACTTAAGTGCTCCACCTTGCCAACCACAACCCTCCCTCATTGATCAATGTAGGGTCACATGCTGACACTGTACATGTTCAAACAGTCCCTCAATTGTAAAAGTTTAATTTCTAACTGCATACAATGTAGATCTACTATAGCTGCCACATAAAATTAATGTAGCCCCGTCAAAAAATTAACCTTTGCAGTTATCAGTCTAAAATCTCAAAACATTACTCAGTTGAAAAACTGTATATTTACAGTATAGTGACTTACATACATGTGTTATACTGACTTGTCTAGTGACTTACATTTTGCTGGTTTATACGTAGCGTAGGTATCTGCTGAGGTGTAATGATCGTCTTCTTCCTCTATATCTTCCTCAGTTTGAGAAACCTATGCACAAAATTCAGAATTGTGATATTGAGAGAATACATGCATGTACATGTACATTACATGTAAATAAAAAACTAAAAAATTAAAATACATGTTAAGCCGGATTTACAATATGACGCTAAGCCAACGTAACGTCAATTTTTAATCAAAAGCGCAGGCGATTTGACCTTTTCACGCATGCTTCACGCTGGAGTTGAACCAGATTCAACTTCTGCGTCAACGTAACGTCAGGACTAGCGTCATATTGTAAATCCGGCTTAAGGTATGAACTACATGGGCATGTACATATATTATGTACATATACATGTAATTTTTGATCAGAATTCATTGGGTGGGAAGTCAAAAAGGACAAACATAAAAATTAATAATCGATGCTATCATTGTAATCATTAATATTCACTGTGTAGGATTACTTTAAGTAAAAAGACTATGCACACAAAATCATATCAAAAATTCATTACAAAACTACTCAAAAAATTGAATTAAAATACGCAAGATAAATGTACATGTCAATTTCCAATGTCTTAGTACAGTAGGCACTACATACATGTACATGTAGATTGCGGGATATAAAATTTCTTAGTGACTTTGGTCTAATTTTTGAGCAACTTTAAAAATTCAATAAAATCCAAACTTGATCAGAATCCCTTCAAACTGTCTACGTAATATCAGAAAAAAATTATAAAATAGGGAAATATCTCCTTTTCATTTTTTGACAAAATTTGGCTGAAGAGGCAAAGACCAAAGTATAACCATTGGGGTTATTGGCCCAATTTTGAGCAACTTAATAAATTTATAAAAATCAAAACTTAACTTAAAGTTAATAATTATACAACATGAGGATAGAAAATTTTTGATCTAAAAATTATGCATCTAGAAAATTAGTCTATTAAAAAATAATATATGTCTAAGAAATTCATTTGTAGCAAAAAAGCTACAAATGACAATTCCAGGTACATGTACTGTATGTACATGTAGTAGAGTAGATTCTGGTATTATGAGACGGTTTGTATTATGGGACACTGCCTGTAATTTCAATAATAAAAATTTGAAAATTTTAAAATCTTAAGTGTCTCATAATTGGTACATGTACTCTACACATGCATAGGCTACATGTACATGTACATATCAATGTAGGTGTGAGAAAACTACTGTAAACTAAAAAAGCTACACCTGCCATGAGTAATTCAATATGTGACAAGCACAAATAAAACTATACTGAAGCAGTACATGTACATGTACACATACATTTAATTACTATGGGTACAATCACTGAATGCAAACACAAAACACAAAAAGGAAGAGCAGTTTTGATAAAGGGTAATTACAAAAACATTACTCCTACTAAAACTCCTTAAATGTTATGTTCATGACTAGAACTTACCATTGTTGGTCCAGTTGCCTGTACTACCACTAGTGGCTGCTGCTGAGTGACAGGAAGCCTAGCAAAATACAACAGTACAGTCAGCATTAATTTACATGTACGAGTATGACATTTCGAAAACAATTTGCTACATGTACTAAGGTCATGTTGTAATGGTTTAACTTTAGCTTTAAGAATGCATTTACATGTACAAGTATGCTACCAGTAAAAAGACACATGTAATACATTTAAGTGTTAGGTTTTAAAAAAGAAGGGATACGTGTAAATGTTATAAATTAAGGCAGACACTTATATTTTCAGAATGTTCTGTATATCGTAACTCCAAATTTTATATCAGTCAACTATTCAACTATTTTTTCAAATTTGTCTGGGCATTTTGTTTGATAAAATTTCTGCTCCAGATAGGTAATATATGAAGATTTACAATAAAAAAAATTTTAACGACAGATACATGTACATGTGTTAGTAAATTAGGATTTTTCAATGAAATTTTCTTGATGAATGAAAATTTGGAGCTACACACGGCTACATTCACTGAACACCTCATTCTATGTATCATAACTTTTTAGACGCACATGTACATGTACAATAGACAATTATACATGTAGATACTCTTTCAACAATCAACAATAAAAAATCACTAGTAAAAAAATAATTTGAAGTATATACCTTAAAGTAGGAGGCGGTCGATTATTAACAGGTACTTTAATATCAGGCAAAGACAGGGACATAGAGGGAGTAGATTCATCAGGATTGAGACCAAGCTCTAGCAGCACATCATTCACGTCCATATTTTCTACAGAGGACACAGGATTACTGACAGTAGACAAAGAGGTAGGAGGAGTCAACGTATTTGATAAGGGATGAGGTACAGCCCCAGGTATAGTGAATGATGGGAGATCACAGTTCAAGATGTTAGTCTCAGAGGCTTCGAATAAATGCGATAAATCATCGTCCGACGAAACAGTTTTATTATTATTAACATTATTGGTACTAGTTACTAGAGGTAGGATTAGGGATGAGAGTGAATCAGAGGATGCTGTTGATACAACTGGCAATAGTGAAGAAACTGGCATAGGGATGTTTGATTCATTGAAGTCATTCCCAAGAGTCAAAGGGGGCAGGTTCAGTCCACTCTGTTCAAGTGCCAGTGACAGAATATCACTCGGAATATCATCGTATCCGTCACCTTCCAAAAAACTGTCTAGAGACATGGCCAGAGAAATCCTTGCAGCAGTTGTGTCTTTATATTAATATATAATCTTTGTGTGTTTACAGCCACTGTTTGACCCTAACAACATATATCCATAATTCAGCTCAAGCTTAATGAAGAAGGCACAGCTCGGGTATTATCTAGTCCTCAGTGAAACTGTTAGGGTAGAGAATTATAGAGCCAACCTCTTCACCAGTCCCAACCAGGTTATAACTGAGTGAGAGGGAAAGGTGGTCATTATCAATTTATCATGTGGATCATGTTTTTAGTATGACGTAAGAATGATGTAATTGATTCGCTTATTTAAAACATTTACGGTCTTGTAATAATTGTAATAATTAAATTATTAGTTTACAGGAAAAGTCGAGGGAAAAGTAAAAATGCCTGTGAAATACGATCTTCCATTCACTCAAACGTCTCACTTGATTGCTCTTGGGTCCACTACTCTTCTAGTTGGAGTGGCCATTTTCCCATTCGGTGCCAGCTGGTCGGGATCCGGAGGAAATCAAGGAGCTTGGCCCGTTATAGTAAGGGTTGTACACTTAGGGTCCTTCTCTGGTTGGTTTGGAACTCAGTTATGGGTCACTTTCTTTGCAGGTATGCATCAAAATGGGTACTAAAAATTTGATATTCTGGTTCGTGGATTTGCAAAACATGAATTTAATCCATTTCAAGCGATCCATTTTGAGGCCTAAGGGTTATTAATACCATATAGTGATTTAGTTTGGTGGGATTTTATTGGCGATTTTCTGCAAATCGCCAATATTTAAACAGCCAATAATTAATGAGCATACTCGGTAATTCATGTGTGCCCAAAAATTGTTAAATTAAAATTACAATTTTACAGCAAAATTGTCAAAATAAAGCAGTATAACTATAATAATAATAATGCACGTAATTGTTTTTAATTTACTTTTAGGTTTGACAATGTACAAGCATCTCCCAAGACATACATTTGGTTATATTCAGAGCAAATTATTTCCTAAGTACTTTCTCTTTGGAGCTGTCCTCTCGTCTTTATCAATAGCAACGTATCTCGTTGAAAATCCAATTCATTCGTGGGGCTTGCAAGAAAGTGTTCAGGTGAGCATTGACATGTTTTATGATAATTTCAAACAGTAAGTTGTTGAAACTCAAACTTGCCTTTCTGCATGTGATTAATCTTAATAATCCTGTACTATGGTTATAGCTAATAACAAGAGTAAATTATCTACTCTTGCTAATAGAGATCTAGCTAGCTAATATACCTACCGTGGGGTGCCTTTTTTCGAAGGCTGTAAATTTTGCAGATTTCTAGATTTTTTTAAGATTCACAAAATTACTTCGGCAAAAATCAAATTAATATGGTACAAGATGGCAGACAGCATAAATTTGCAAAAATTAAATCTGCAAAATAAAAATCTGCAAAATCTATAGCCCTCGAAAAAAGGTGCCCTACAGTACTTTTAGAGCAGTGAATGACAGAGCATATTATTATCATTATTTTGAAATACGGCATTCACCTACATGTAGTAATGGACAATACCATTTTGGGCTGGAAAATTCAATTACGATAAATTTTTAACTACATGTACATGTACCTTAAAGTGTAACTGCAGTGATTTTTTAGGGTATTTATTTTATGGTCTTAATATGACTGCCTGACCATAATAATGATGTGTTCCAACTTCTATTGTCTAAAAAAATTTATTCACTGAGATATGAGCCTTCAAAAATGCACTTTTTGCTTCCTTTCAATTTACTTCCTGTCGGTGGGTGTGGCTAAACGTGACGTCATAGGAGGCATAGATGCAGATAACTTCATTCCTTTATAGGGGGAAATAATGCTTTATTCTCATGCCTTGTAATGTAATAGCACTAATTTAAAGATTGGAATCATCAGCTTTCATTATCCTAAGCATGCAATTGCAAGAAAAAAACTCAAAAGAAGCAAGCAAGCAGATTTACCAGTGTGGCGTGGTAAGAGGCTTTGGTGGCCGTAGAGGTCCAACTCAGCTTAGGCATTTATAATTAAAAGGGTGTGGTAAAAAGGATTCATAAGCTTATAATGGCATTGTTTCTGCTTCAAAAGTAATTTTTAGCCTAGGCAATGACCCCCAATGCTTAGGCCTGCAGCTGCCTATGGTAAGAAGATTCACCAAAGTGTGGTATTATGACTTTTTCTTGCAATTGCATGCTTAGGATAATGAAAGCTGATGATTCCAATCTTTAAATTAGTGCTATTACATTACAAGGCATGAGAATAAAGCATTATTTCCCCCTATAAAGGAATGAAGTTATCTGCATCTATGCCTCCTATGACGTCACGTTTAGCCACACCCACCGACAGGAAGTAAATTGAAAGGAAGCAAAAAGTGCATTTTTGAAGGCTCATATCTCAGTGAATAAATTTTTTTAGACAATAGAAGTTGGAACACATCATTATTATGGTCAGGCAGTCATATTAAGACCATAAAATAAATACCCTAAAAAATCACTGCAGTTACACTTTAAGGTATTCATTTATAGTGGGTAGTGTACCTTTGACAGCAAAATGGCATCAAGCAAGAAAGCAAGAATGTTCCTAGCTATTATTTTAGGTGAGTTTATCTTTATTCCTTTGAGTATGTATTTATTTTATCATTAGATATTAGCAAATTAAATGAGATTGTACAGAAATTTAAGCAATACAGGTTTCCTGAGGCAAAATGGTTTGAATTTGGATTGAATCTTGGTCTCCTTTATCCTACACTGGAAGCTATTGATGCTAATCATAGAGGAAATACTTCACATTGTCTCATGGAGTGTTTATCCAAGTGGCTGAGTAAAGCTGATGAAAATGTGTATCCTCCTACTTGGCAGACATTGGCTAGTTCTCTTAGAAAGGTAGAAGCAAAAGCAGTGGCTGAAAATATTGAGAAAACAAGTAAAGTCAATTCTAATTCAATATAATGTATTGTAATACTCCTTTCCCAGTGGTTAGCCAGCTACTACAGCATTACAGTAGTAGAATATCTGGAGCAACACTCTCTGAAGAATCAGTTGATCTGTTACATACAGAAGGACTGATATCTGAAGAGACATTGAGGGAAGTGAAGGGTTGTGGATACACACTAACAGATGATGCAATGAGAGAAATATACACAGCAGTAGCTTATGATCATAACAAATTAAAATCATTTGCTATCATATTATGTAAAACAGAAGATACTGTCAATATGGCCAATGAGTTACTACAGGATATTGGTATGTATTAAATAAAATCTAATACATGGAACTTAGTCAAGTTACTATTCTTTTCAGAGGAAACTATCATGCCTGAAAGCTTGTCTGAGTGCATTAATGATCCTACAACCCAAGCAATTGCATCTACTTTAGGTATTACCATAGCAAATCATGTAAGAATTGTGTCTTTTATATATAATACTTCAAGGCTTCAAATAGGTACATGTAATTAATTCACTAATAGTATAATATAATCTAATTATATTAGAGTTACAAATGTTATTATAGATATTCAACTTTATATTACACAACTCTATAATGATCGCTTTGATGAAATGATATGGGATTGTGGGATGTTTTATATTAAAATTACTGGTATGGTATGCAATAAGATCACAGCAGATCAACTTGAAGATTTCAAAGAATGCATCAATGCCTGTTGCTCTGACCTGAGCCCACAGCTGGCCATTGCCACTAATATCACTGATCGTATTAGTGTTGACTGTATGTGCGTGTGTATTCTTTATGTAGAACATAGTGCATGTTCAGTACTAGCTATTGAGATATTCAACACTCATCGTCCACTCCTCTCTCAGTCTCTCTCTGATCCTGTCAGTGTAGCTAGGCTGCTTAATGGAGAGGGTGTCATAACAGGACAAGTATTGGCTAGTGTGGAATCAGCTAGTCCCTCTGTTC